GAGGATAAGTGTAAGACAACTTTATTTTATTACCGTAGCGAAAATGCAAAGCTCTGTGAACAGTAAAAAGTGTCAATGTATTACAAATTGAATCTCATTCTCAGTCAGCTCCAAAGTTCGATTCGGTTCTGAATGGCGAACCTGCTAATGAGATTAACATATAAAGAAACGATTTATTTCATTTTACATTTGCCGCCTTCCTACTGATTATTTCGTTCGATAAGAGCAAACGATAAGAACCCTGAGATTTGACCAACACTAAATTTTGTTACCCTAACCAGAACTAGATGCAAAAATGCTTAAAAATCCATGGCAGAGTTTGAGAAAGGATACATCTCCATCCACCCCGTTCAAGTTAACGCTTCAAAGAAACCACCAGAAGCCAAAGAACTCATTGTTCAATCAACTGCCAAATAAAAAAGCCAAAGCTTGGTTTGGAAATCCATTAAAAAGTTAAGTCCGGGTATCGAATGTTGTTTGCTCATAATTGTGAAAAATACAAGGAGATGTGTTAACCAAGATAGAAAAGCCTTGTTACCACCACTGCCTGGCCCGCACCTAAACCAACTTTGAGGTGAGGAAGAAGAAAGAAACGCAGCAGATGTACTTTCTTCCAATTTGGACACATTTTTCTTTGGCCCATCAAATGGGACCCAACAGCTTGCTTGCTTTTGGATGGACTGACCAGAGGAGGAGATGCGATGTTCACCGGATTCCAAACTGGAAAAGGCGACATCAGTCAGTCAGCTGCAGGAGAAGAGCACCTTAGGAGAAGAATTTTTACGATGGCTTATTAAGGGTTCCCCATACACAAGACCAGTGGTAAGTCTGGTAAGTAACTGTAGTGGTAAAAAGTGAGATTACGGAGAGAGGATGCTTGGATGGGCAGCAAGTTGCACAATGTGATTGAGGGGAGACGAGGGGTCCAGGTGAGCGACCCTTCCGTCCGTCGACTCTCAAAATATTTGGCATTGTCCATTCAGTCTCCATTTCATTTTGCCATTGTGATCTGCCCAATGTGATCCCTTTCCTTAAATGCTCCTCCAAGAAGAGCCTGCCCTGCTTTGTCATTCTCCGCGTTTGAATCAAGTATATGTACTTTGACATTTCGGCACATCATTTTTCAAACCACGACATGCGTAAGGAAATCCCGGCAAAATTTATTCCCCAAAATTTTACATCTACAGATTTAAATTCAAAGTCAAATCCAGCCATGGCATCAACAAGAAAGTGATCCTGCCGATCTCCTGGGGCAATTACAATGCTTCGTCCATAATAATGCGTAATAATGGACAAGGAAAACAAGGTTCAAGCCTAATGTTAAACTTACCATTGTGTTTTGTGCACCTTTGTTAAAAAATATCGAATATCTGCACATCATTTTTCAATCGGCAATCACGGTTTGTGACAGTTTATTAATTCAATAAAATTTTGCCATGTCATCACCCAGTCAGACCACTCTGTTTTGGGCGTACACATCAATACATAATTTGACTGTTGAAATTAAGGGTCCCTACTTTTTTTAGTCAGAAAATCTGATATTCTGTCAACGACACGGCCGAATTTTAAAGTTATAACGGTCTACATTTCACAGATTTCGTACATAATTGCAACAGAACGCTTACTCTAACGCTAACGCTAAAGTACTTCTCATGACTCACTGCACATGTGTAAAGACGAAATTATTATTAAAGACATCCTGTTAAAACATTTGGTAAATTGGTTTGCGGTGGCAGATTGAACCTCCAATTAATACTACGGACAAGGGAAAGGTGAAGAAACAACTCGACCGGTCCGGAAGGCCGTCTTGGACCAGGAAGCCAATTGAATATATAGAAAAAAACAGGTCTTACATATCCAAACGTACGGACAGATGAGTCTCAAGATGCTCTACGTCCTGCTACCCATAAAAAGGTCCGTACGGGGCTGACATGCCGAGGTTATGAGGCAACCCGGCCTCGCCAACTGTTTCATCGGAAATTATTCGAAACAAAGCGGAAATCGGAAAGCTAAATAATAACCATTGCGCCATCGACGTCATGTAAACGACACCATTCAAGAGGGCAGAACACACCTGGTGGCTTTAAAAAGTTGTCGCTACCAACATAATTTGCACTGTTGCTGAACGTTAGTGCAAATTGTGTTTGATATATTTGTGCATATATTGCAACCCAAGTTATCCATTACATATGTACATACAAAAATAAGAAGGTAAAAAACTGACGAAAGTTAACATTCGTCTTCCTGGAAAATAAAAGTAGTCGTAAGTAGCCGGCTGCTTCCTAGGGAGTTGAGGTGGTATAAAGCATCTGTACTTCCTTCACCGGCCTTGCTGAGGAAACACATGATGTTGAATGGAGGGTCAGAGGCCTTCGGGAGAGAGACTTCTGCTCTTCCTCCCGGTTAACACTTTCAATCATTCATTTAGAAGCAGCAGTCATGATCTGCCTCAACATAACGTAAACAGTGGGACGATCCCACCACGTATCCAGGCACTGGGATCACACGTGAAGTTTTATGATGTTGTGATAATGTTATCTAATTTGGGAGGTAAATAAAAGAAAGCTGGACCTTTATCACAGGAAATAAAAGCGTAGCAGAGCACATGTACATCTGGCTGGAGGTGGCATCGTAAGTGGTGCCACAGACGCGAGCCAAGTCGTCAGCAGCAGCAGCAGTTCTTTCTTCCGCTTCTTCTTTTCTTTCCTCAGACCAGAAGTCAGTTGGCCGGAAGGAAATAGAATGAGGAAGTCCAGGTTTTGGTGGGTGGGACACACATCGGATAATCGCTGTGCAAGCATTTTATTCATCTGTCTTTATTAGTAAGAGTCGTTTATTAGGACCGCTTTGATTTTCCACAGACTTTTTACAGTATACTGTTCATTCATTCATTGGTTATACACTTAAACAGAAACCGATGCATACGTAAGTTTTCGAACTATTTACAAGCAATGTGTCTTCAATGACCGCAGAAAACTAATGCTTGTCTCAGTCCTCTTTGGAGCACCGGATATTATCGTTTCAAAGGGTGAAACGTATTTGGTAAATTTATTATTCTGTTTCAGCAAAGTATTCGGCACTGCTAGCTGTGAATGATTACACGTTTCACAAGCCTTAAAAGCATAGTGTGCATAACTGATATTCTATTTAAGTATGTGCATGCATAGTGGTGACCCTTCTGGTTTCAGTCAATCAGGGTCCAAAAACTACTCAAGTGACTTTTGTAAAATGCATTCCAATACGCATCTAGTTTGGCTAAGATCATAAAAAGCAAGGCTTATTCATTCACTAATTGATGATCTCTCTATATATATGCTTCCTAAAGTACATCAAATTATGATGAATGACATGTTACACGTTCCCATACTTTATTATCAATTTATCATCATTTATTTAATTTTGCTTAATCGCCCCTCCCAAAGATTTAATTGATTTTTCATGTTTTAAGAAATTATTGACCATGCATGAGAATTTTCTGGCATGGATAACTATCCTATGTATATTATTGTAGACCGAGTTTTGTCATTCCTTCAAAACATAGATGTGTACATATATACATATGACGCACTTATGCGATAAGACATGCATGAATCTCTATAAGTTGTGCCCTGGGAAAGTTTATAAAATGAAACTTTGTTACATTTCGTCAACTTGAACATTCTGCTGATTGTCCATCTCCCATCCAGCTTGAAACATTTCTAATACTGTCAGGACGTATTGACTGCTCGAATGCAGGATTATTGCCCACAAAGAAAGAAGAAAGAAACTTTTTTCTTTCTCCTTTACTCTCTCACACATTGCACTATCATTGAAATGCATGCAATATACATTTATTCAAACTAGTTTCTGCCTATCCTGCAGGGAAAAATGAGAAAAGTTGCCTCCATTGAATGGATCACATTATGCTGGAACAAGGGGCCAAAGTCTCAAAGTATCCACTTCATCTCCCTCTCTTTCTACCTCATTAAAGGGTTCCACTATACGTCCATGGGGAGGTAATTACCGTCCGTCCATCCACTCCATTGCAACACTTTTGCCTTTCACAATCCGCATTTTTACTATTTATCCCCCACCGTACCAAATCCGACCCGATTTTTAGCGACACGGAGATCGCTTGTTGATTTTATGTGAGAAACCGACCGACCTGAAGGTGCCAAGCAAGCAAAACTAATTAAGAGTTCTCATTCCCTTGTTGAAACTGATTAAAAATCTGTGGCAATATCTCACCGTATTCAAATCAGGGTCCTCAAATCCCTGTAAAAACTGGCTTGGCAACTTTTTCCCCAAAGTAAGTTCCGCTCATTACTCCTGCTTCGCTCGTCCCATTGGAGACCCTGGATTTGGAATAGTTCTGGCTCATGGAGACATTAAGAAATTAATAAAAATCAAGTCACTATTAATGCAAAGACATTAAGGTAAATAAAACGAGCGTCCATTTGAGCTGAAGATTTACAGGCTGTCAAATTCAAAGTATTGTAATAAACAAGTTTCAGGAAAAGGTATGCATAATATTTATGAGTAATTACTTCAAATTGTATGAAATATATGCAGAATCAAAACATATTTATGATTAAAAACAAAAACAGTGAAATATTAGGATTTGACAGTCCGTTAAAAATTTACAAATAAAGGACTTACATATCCGCGTCTCATTCATCTTCGAATCTGACAAGATTGCTTATTTCGTAAATTATTGCTAAAGCAGGAAACCATTTGATCAGAAAATGTGAGAATTGTTTCAAATGAATTCAACATTACACAAGTTCAGAAAACCGTTCAGCAGAGCATTCTAGTTTCGATTAGCTAACCCAAGTTACCCTGAGACTCGAGTTAGCATTTTCCGACGAGAGATGGAAAAGCAGCAGCGACGTTTCTTTGTTGCTTTGTTAATAAAAGTTGGGAATCATCTTTTGCTCTACATTTAATTCTACACATGATAAATTAAGTATTTACGTGTATGAGTATTTAATTCTCATGCAAAATGAATTAACATGGATGAATTATAGTTTACGATATTTCGTGTTGTTTATTATCTTCGTTGTTGTTCACCTAATTTTTTCATAATAGTCGAGCATGAAATGATAATGAAAAATATTTGATAATATAATTCGAATCACTACCAAGGACGTAGAGACGCATTGCACGCCTAATTCAAAAGTATGCATTTTGCGTGGAATTTACCTACAACAAAATTGGACTTGGTTTGTGGCAGTAGCAAAACTCAAACAAAATAGCAAAAGTTGGAGTTAACGAGACCTTTCACCATCATCTCCTCTCTCAGCCAAAGTCACCCAATCGATACGTTTGGCAAACACTTCAGAACACATACTGATGGTGTTTGTACAACTATAACTGCAGTTGGAACGGAAATATAAGAATCAATCAAAATTTTACAATCTTCACCAAACCAATTTTAAATTTAAGTTAATCAATTACACCACTTTTCGTAAACTAACATTTCGTCGAGTTAATTATAATTTTGTTGATTACTGGAACACGGTGTAAAATAGGGACCATATTTATGTCATCATGGCCTTGATGTCGGCCTGGCTAGGACTCTCCCCAAACTTCTTCTTCATGGCAGTGATCACTCTGGTGGCGTATTTGTTGTCCACCTGCAGAACATACGGCATGATTATTTATCGACTCAACATAAGTGATTTGTTACTTTCGGGTTTGCTACATTTCTTGCACTGCAAAGCAAGAAATGCGAGGTGCAAGAAACTGGGAGAAAGTGCAAGAAATTTGCACAATCTAGCCACGCGCCGTATGAAGTGTAGCGGCGCGGCGTATTTTCTTCTACCTTGCATTTCTTGCAGGTAAAGATAGCTACAAGAAACCACTTTCATGCAGTTATCTCTTGCAAGTGGTTACTTGCACCCGAAACACTGCTTAATATGTTGGATTATGCTTTTTTGTATGGATTAGTTTTATCATGCATCTATGTATGCATTTTCACTTTGGTACAGCCCAAAAATACAATATGGAACGTTTGATAATCTACAATTAAACGACCTCAAACCTTAAATGCCAGTTTGACCATTGAAAAAAATAATAATCTGAGAAATTTCAAATAATTTGAGCTCTTACACCAAATTTCTCGAGGCACTTTTGGAGGTTTCCCCAGACATCAGAGTCCACTAATTGTCCAGTGGAACTGGCTGCATGGGAATAAAAATTGGTTAGGCAATTCATTCAACAGATGCGTGGCTCATCATTCTAAGCACCGAATGCGGATGTCGGTGTGATTGAGTACACGTGTGTCTCTTGGAAATTACCTTGTGAGCTAAGGGCCGATGGCTGCGTCTTGGCGAAGGCACTCCAAATACTGTCGTATGTTTTGCTGCAAAGTAAAATTACCAGAGATTTTCAGTTTCATCCGGAATATAGTTACCTAATTATTATGCACATATTTCCATATTTCTTACTCAATGATTGGGGGCATGCCGTCCTTCTTGAGAGCGTCCAAAATGGCCTGTTTGCACTCCTTCCTCAAACTCATCTTGCCTGCACACACATTTTTCAGTCAACAACAATCAGCAACTTATGTTTGGTTGAAGGGCACGCGAAATGCGCGATTACGCACAAATTAATCAAGTATGCAGAAGCGTCATTTGTAATTTGCCAAGCATGCAAGTATGCTAGCAATGCAATTAAATCGTACCGTTTTCCTTTGTTTCCGGGTTGGTTTCACTGCTTTGTACAGAATGGAATCCGAGCTGGAGGGCTGGGAGAAGAATTCCTCACCGAGTGAAGTTCACGAGTGAAGTCTGTTTGGGAAATAGAACGCGATTATCTATATATAATTTTGGCGAGATGCCGAATCATCCACTTTTCTGAAACTCAAGATGTCGGAGTAAATTATACATGCAAATGCTGCATATAGATTCATATGTGTGTCCCATGCATGCATTGGACGGTTATCGCAAATGTTCAGCCGTGTGTAACTTTCTCTCTCGAAGACGTGCTCTCCCACGTCCTGTGCATACGGACGGGGAGAGTATTAATCTTCCTTGTAGCCTGTTGCACGTCCTCCTGTGTCGAATCTTATCGTGGAGAGAGCCAGGCACGAACTGTATCATCCCGACCGACCCATATTTGCCGTTCTCCCCACTCCTCCTCCTCCTCCTAACTCATCCCAGGAGGCTTCCGTGCCACTGCGATGAGTGGTCCTTCGCACACGTTCAGATTATTTTAATCCCTGCGTATGCCAACTCTTCTTTAATAGGACTCACGGAGGATATATTATCACTATTTAGCCCGAGTCAGGGCTTATGTCCCGTCCTGTCCCTCTGTCCGTCCGTCTGACTGTTTTGCGATAACTACCGTAAAACTAATCCGATCGACTTTACAGATTGACTCGACATTTTGCACATGCATTTGTAGTATATGTACACAAGTTAAATTAGGAGTTAAGTTTGAAGATGGTCAAAATCAGTCAAGTAGTTGACCCGTGGGGGTCATCTACGTGGGTGGCGTATTAAGGACGTCCTCCTCACTTCATAAAATTTCATGCAAAAGAGTCGGATTGGGTAGTACAACTAGGCCTGGCTCGGGCTATATCAAGTCTGCACTGCAGGTTTTTACTAATCTAAATTACCTCCATTAAGGTAAGGAGAGTGAGTGAGTGGCTTCTTAGGCCAAGCACTCGTTAGCAGAGTCTCGGACCATAGAAAAGTTTATAATCTCTCAATTTGCTCATGAATGATATGTGTGTGGCGAAGATAACCCCAGGCTTCAATTAGGAGTTACAATTGAAGCACTTTTTTCATCGTGGGCCAAGCAGGCGGTAGGAATACAGAGACGAGTGGTGTACGAATGTGAAGGCTGTTCCGAGCCACCTACATTTTAACCTCTGAACGCCCACACTGTTCTGCTGCATGTCTAAATAAGTTTATTTTCCACTTACTCTCACCGAGGAAGAAGGATTCTTCAGTGCTGAACAATTTCCACAAGGTTTTCCACTTGGAGACCAAAACCGAGAAACCAACCAAGCGACGACGACTGGATGGCTGGCAGTTAAATTTAGTGATGACATCAGTCCTGCAAATTCAAACGAGTTTCTAATTAGCGTGCAGTCATATGTACAGCTTTTCGTGTTATGGGACATTGAGTCCACATTATTAATGCCGCTGTCTGCAGAGATTTTAATCATATGCGTCAAGTCTGGGAAATAATTAAATTTTTACGTCACCTGAATAACCGTCCACGTGGCCCCTCATAATTTTCATATTCAACAAGCCTCCCAATTTTATTCCAAGTTTTAAAAATAAGTTGGAGCGTCTGTTTTTGATCAAATTTTGTTTTTTCGACGGTTTGGTTGAGTTCTGGTGCTGAAGTCCGAGAGAGCAAATAGTTATAGCCGTTTGACCTTACACTTCTACGTAAGATGGTCGTATATCTCTTATTCTTTGAGTGGCAGATCTGGGACATCTCACACGACGTCTCCTAATAAAATCTACCCACTGACCAGTTACACACATCGTGCCAGGTGGACCACGCTAGAGATACAGAATATTTAGTTAAATCGTTATATAATTATGTCAGTTGTTTTGACACGTTTAAATTTATATGCCACATTTTTCAAATTCTAGCAATTATGTGAGAGTCAGAGCAGAACGACAAGGTCTCAATTTTCCTAAATGTCAAAAATTGTGGATTATTTTCTCCAATTCCTGGCAATTCATACATATGGCGATTCATACATATGTGTAGTACTCGAAGATCTGTCGCACGAGGATAGGAGGAGACGCCGAAATTTTAAACTTTAAAGTTTGATCTAGCCTGCTTCTCTCAGCGCATATAAAATAAATGATGGGGATAAAATTGACACGGATTTTAACAGCTGAAATAATTAATCATTCATGGTCTCCCATTTCCTAATTCAAATATCCCGTGAATTGGAGGAAATTCATTATTATTGGTTCAATAAAAATATTAGAAGAATAACGTGCAACTTAATTTCCATCGATAACATTGAAATTATCTGTGTTCCAGTTGGAAACACATTTATGTATCTGCATACACAGCCTGAGACCCCGTGAGGATATTTATTACCACTGTGTGGGCTGTAATCCTCCTAAATGTGTGCCTGCTTCTATTCTCTGCATATCGTTTCATGGGACAAATAAAGATGTTAAAACTTATTGCTCACGATTTGCATGTGCTCTGAAAATCCGGAGAGAAAGAGAATTTGAGACGCGACGATGGCGACTCTTTCATTCGAATCTCACACAAAATGGACATTTAATTTCGCCCAACAACATCATTCCGTTGAAATATATGTACTCGTACTGTTCATCTTTTCTATTTAGAAACGGAATTTCAGTGTCACGACGTTCAATAGGATACAGCACAGATGTCCCTCTGTCACTTTTTGTTACTTGGTAGATGAACCCCCAAGTTTGCAGGACATCTGCATAAATAGTACGACAGTCCTAATTCTGGGATTCACAGATCCCATTCCACGAAATGCCAAAAAGGACTCATCATTACCAGTTGAAGTTCACATAAAAGGTTGTTGACAAGAGAATTAGAGCAGGAGTCATTCATCGGCGAATCATGATGATGGTGTTGACACCGTGACATTGATATGCTTTAAAACTGCGTGGGATGCGGTGAGATGGTGTGAATGCAATTTTATATCCAGATGTCCCCCACAACTAGAGGCATGCATGTAGATATGTAGATAAAAAAAAGTGGCAAATTTAGCGCAGGGAGAAAGCTGCCCAGTATTTTCACACGGAAGTGTTCTCGAAGGGTTGACATTAACTGATGCATATGTGGAGGTCAAAATAATTGAATACGTCAAAAGCCAGACAAACCACAAGAAACGACCTTCAGAGCTAACCACCACAAAGTTGGAGTGGGCTACATACACACCGCACATGCAAACTCCACGACACTGACTGAAGATGAAAAGACGAGAGTTAGCCCACGATGTAAATGAGAAACTTCCTCGGTTGTGATGAAGCAGTGTTTTTACAGGCTCTGCAAAACCCTCAAGTGATTGAGGTCTGTGTGCAAAACGTTGTCCAGACATTTATCCAAGTAATCCACATTGATCAACTGTTCGTATTATGATGAGATGACAAATGCTGAACAACCTACGTGCGTGTGTCCATGCTCAACTTCATTAGATCAAACGATCACGGATCAAACCTCGTCTCATAAGTATGTCAGCGTGGTGTCCGACATATGTACGCCACAGTTTTTTGTTTTAGTCTTGATTATGGGTGAAAATCGCTACATATTTTGCTAGATAAGTTGAAAGTTTAATTGTCACTCGTCAAAAGAGAGGCGGAGGAGAATGACGAACAGTGACGAAAAAAAGAATGACGGATTCGAAAAGGTCTACGACTACGTGGGTGGCAGTGGATGGTTCCAATGGAGGCTTCTCTTGATAACCTCGCTCCAAGTGCGTCCTCTTCTCTTTTTAGAAGTTCATAAACTCTATTTTATCAGTTTTACATTAATAATGCATATTTTTCAGTTGATAATTGTCACCTGGCATCACATTGGGTATTCTTTTCTGGGCGCGGTGCCAGACCATTGGTGCAAAATTGAAGACTTGGAGACACGGACAAACTGGACCCTGACAGAAATCAAAAGGCTTTCCATTCCAAGAACAGTGTGAGCTTAAAATACCAAACATATCGCAATTATATGCCATACAAAGGGATGCATACATACATATCGTCGCACTAATTCTAAAAAGACGTAAGTGCATTCGATGCTTAATTTTAAAACCACGTAAGTGCACTCGATGTTTAATTTTAAAAAGACGTAAGTGCACAAAAAAAAACTAGTAAAAAGACGTAAGTGCACTTTTTAAAATTATAAAGAGTAATTACTTGTTCAAAATTGTCCTATCAAGGGAAATTTGAACTTATTGGCCCCCATAGGCAAGTAATGAAAGAAAATTCAAAATTTAAAAACCACACCCTCAGGGGGTGTGGTTCTCGGCCTTTACAGTAAGGTGAATTAAATCAAAACGTATTTCTTTCCTCACCCCGGTGACGCAATTCCAGAAGATTATTAAAAATTTAAAAACCACACCCGTAGTGGGTGTGGTTCTCGGCGCCTAATTTGCACTAAATAAAACATGGCATGCAATATATCCTATTTCTCATCCCGATGAGAAATAGGATTTCTCATCCCGAAGTTTCATAAATTGCGTTTTGACGTGGCTACACCCCCAAAGTTTCCACAATTGAATTTTGACTTGGTTGCACCCACAAAGTTTCAAAAATTGAATTTTGATTTGGTTACACCCCCAAAGGTTCCAAAATTTAATTTTGACTTGGTTACACCCCCAAAGGTTCCAAAATTTAATTTTGACTTGGTTGTACCCCCCAAAGTTTTCCCAAGTCAAAAATCAATTTTGGAGACTTTATGGGTGTAACAAAATCAAAATTCAATTTTTGAAACTTTGGGGGTGCAACCACGTCAAAACGCAATTTATGAAACTTTGGGGATGTAATTAAGTCAAAATTTAGTTTTTGCTTTAAGAACCACACCCCCTGAATGTTTTGGTTTTAAAATTTTGAGCGTGCCGTCGAATATGGATCATCGGGATGAGAAAAAGGATATATTGCATGCCATGTTTTATTTACTGTGGATGAAGTTCTAACCCTGCAGACTTATTACACCGCTTTGTAGCATTAATTTCACGACGTCACCGGTCAAAAAAATTTTTTCCTCCAAACTGGTCCAAAATAAAAGTCTAGCATGGGAATAGTATAGAAAAATTATTTTTAGCGTTCTATGACCCCTGGGTCATGAATTAAGGGCCCCTGAAGGGTCAAATAGCGTTCCCTGATAACCCCATGCAAATGGGGTATCAAATTAATCCCCTGGACCAGGGGAACCAGAAAAATATTTTTATAAATTTTTATGACCCTTGAGTCGTGAACTAGGAGCCCTTGAAGGGTTAAATATCATTCCCTCACAACTAAAGGCAAGTGGGGTATCAAATTAATCCCCTGGACAAGGGGAACCCAAAAAATATTTTTCTGGATTTTTTTGACCCTCAGGTCAAGAGTTAAGGGCCCCCGAAGGGTCAAAATAGTAACCATGGTAACCCCATGCAAGTGGGGTATCAAATTAATCCCCTGGCAAAGGGCAAGCATAAAAATATTTTCCTGAATTTTTTTGACCTATCGGGCAACAGTTAAGGGTCCCTGAAGGGTCAACATAGTAACCATGGTAACTAAGGTGAATGGGGTATCAAATTAATCCCCTGGACCAGGGGAATCAGAAAAATATTTTTTGGTTTTTGTGACGTATAGGTCAAGAGTTAAGGGCCCCTGAAGGGTCAAATAATAACTTATTGTATTTTACTAAACGGGACATTATTTTAAAGTTTTCAGTTTTGCAAGAATGTTAAGTAGAGAGGGGTAGGCATATTTTTGAAAATTTCGTACAAATTTAATGAATAATAATTCTTAACACTATGTACAAATCGGATTCACTATTTATAATATTTATTATGTATTGAATCCATTGAAGTTAAAATCTAGGTTGATTCTGGTGGGAAGGTTAATCTCCTCCTAGAAGTTGCACATTCTTCTTCAGGCAAGTCTTCTTCTTCCCCAGCCTGTGAGTATTCAATATCATTGTGTATTTGCATTCGGAATCTATCAACTACTTCGTCAACATCGTCAGGGTCCTCATCTTCGTCGTCAGACACATCATCTGCTGCTGTAATCTGTATATTATGTATAAGTTATGTATTTTTTTACTAATAGTTTACTGTCACCAAGAACTCACTCGAATGGGGTTGGCTGAAGCTACACGTGTTTGGAAGTCATCAAGGAAGTCATCAAAATGTCCATCATTTTTCCAATACTCGTCCTCCAATCTATTTACAATAATAATGTAGAAATTGCGAATTATTCCCATAATAGCGAATCTTGGTTTTACGAACCGGTGCACATGTTTGATGTGTTTCTGCCATTGTTCCTTTGTGTATGTTGTCATAATTCTCTCAGCCTCAGCTTGTGCAAACTCAGCGGTCCCCTGTGTGTTTGCAGCCCTAACTGCGTGCTTGATGTCTTTCCACACGTACTCAATTGGGTTCAAGTCGCTAAAAATAGTTATTACATGAATATTCTTATTACCGTTACCTATGATTACCAGTTCTTACCAGTTATATGGGGGTAATCTGGAAAATACGTAAATACAGTGTTTAAATAAATATTACAAATTATTAGTAAATTACCCATGAATAGAAAATAACTTTACCGGACAACAGTGTTTCCATATTTCAATGCCTCCTTATCCACAATGTAATATTCATTTCCGTTTTTAAGGTCTTGAACCATTTTCCATAATTCAGGTCGTCTCATTTGCTTTACAGGTTTTAGTTTCAGCTTTTCAGGGCCCTCTAAATTATCATTCAGCCAGTCGTATAGCTCTTGTTTTCGGGATGTAGATTTTGGGGCTTCCTTGGTGCTGTGATACGGAGCTGACAAATTTAAATAAATGAAATTCAAATTAAAATGGAATTTACAAATACAAATTATTGGATGATATTACCGTTATCAATAACAATTATGCATGGACCATAATTATCTTTTATCTTTTGATTAAGATCCTTCCACCAAGCCATGTAAGCGACACCGTTAACGTTTGCGTGGTAATCCATCTGGACTTTCTTCTTTGATACTGGATATACCTTCATAGCGCCAGGTACGAATCCATCCTCTCCACCTGTGAAGATAATTATTATTTTGAAATAATTTCCTATTTAATGTGGATAGTTGAACTGCACCTGCATGCATCACAATGATACGTGGTCCTCTAGAAATTTTCGGGTTTTGGAAGGAGTATAAAGCCGCTTCATGAAATGACTTTGGTGAATTAATAACCCAGCCTTTTCCAGTTCTAGCATAACTATCGACCCATGTTTCATCTGAATAAATATAATGCATTAATAATTATATTAAATTAAATTAAAACATTTTTGATATTTAATCAGCCAAACCTGTGTAGACAACACATTTTGGGTTCTCGGACTGACCATTTTTAATCATTACGGACAGATATTCATATCGCTTCTGCACGATGTCTGATCTCATGAGGATAACTGCTCGCTTATCAACAGTTTTGAATCTAAATCCTAATTGCTTAATGAGTTTTCTTAACGTCCACTTGGAACATTTGAACGCTGTAAGAGTTTCTCCTCGGGCTATCCGACCATCTTCTTCTTCCTTGACTTCCTCCATCAGTTTTGTGTATACGTTATGCATTGTTGGTGCTTGATTATTAGCATAGAATTGATGAATGATTCGTTTAACGTGCTCAGTTCGGAAGTCGTCAAACTGATCCATCACTGGCGTTGGTCTAATACGTTTCTTACCAGGTGTTTTTATACTATTCGTTTTGTAATTCTCCATTGTCTGATAAACTGTTCTCTCTCCAATTCCTAGAATCTGGCTAGTTTTGGTGACAGAGTTTCCTGTTAGTATTTCACACTGTACCTGGTTACTGTCAAAGAATACTTTGGCGTTGACAATTAACTTTTGAGCTGTCGCCTGTAGTGAAACACCAAGTAGTTGGAATGGGAGTTTAGTATTTGGTTGTTTACAGTCGTTTTTCGCTTTCGGTGTTGCTTTCTCAATTTCAAAGGCTAATTGTTGCATAGGAAAACTCGTAGGACTGCACCTCGAAAGACTAAGGTAAGGTTTGGTTCCATCATTCCGTCTAGGAACATCAGATAAAGGAATTCGCATTTCACCTTCCCCCAATACCTGTTCTTTAGCTCTGAGAAGGGAATAGAAATATCCACACTCAGAATCCGGACAAGGAGGACCAACAATTAGGACATCTTGAATGAACTCGTTTATAAGATTCATCTTTTCGTCGTTTATGGGGGTTGGGAGGTGTCACTGCCGGGTGGAACATTTTGGATTAGTGAAAAAGATTGAACTGCTTGATGAAATTGCCCTTGATTGTGTCCGAAGTGAAGTAAAATTATGCAGTACGTCAATGACTCGGCAGGTAAGATTCCTTCGAGATGGTCACTAGTAATCTGGCTGTCAGAAAACAACATATCTGGTGCAACTTGTTTCGATCCGAGGACAAAGTAGAAATTTTTTATTTTGCGTTGCGTAGTTTGTTTCTCTTGTATGATTGAGAAGATCTTGTTCTGGAAAGATGCGTACATTACTTGGTGGATAGTCATCCCGCCCACAAGGATTATTTCAACGAATCCGTTAAGTGAATTAGTTTTTGGAGGACGAGCGCCAAATACGAACATGTTCAATAAACGAAATCTGGTTATCATCATTCTTGGTTGCAAATTCGTTCAAAATCATCCTACATCCCCCTTTGTAAGGGGCCGTTGGGTAAATGTCTGTTCCCACACATGTATCTTCACCTTCTGTACTCTTGGATGCATACTCTGTATTTGAAGTGTCCATTGGTGATTCACCGCCAGGAGCTGACCCTTCCCCTAACTCTTCACGTTGTCCACAGTGCCCACGTTCATCATCTCCATCACCATCCTCCTGTATTGATCAGAACAAAAACGTACATGAGCTTGTTACTACAATAACAATTTCACGATGTCCCCCACAACATCCGCGGTCGCTGCTATTTATAAATATGTTGCAATATTTCTCACAAGTGCGTCTGCATTGGTGTCCATTTCATCCACATTTGAGCATGGCATGACGAGGGAATTCATGTCAGACTGTTTTTGCTAAAAGTGATAAACTTGTATGAAATGCGTCTGTGCTCTCAGACAATAAATCGATGAATCTGAGCTAGCATTAATAGTGCAAAAATATAATCTTACATCGATATGCGGTGGATTTACATTAGTTTCTGGATCCACCGTGTAGCAGCTCCCTAGCCAAATATTTTGCAGAATACTTATCCACTTTGACTCCTGAGCTTGGCCTTCCCAGATGGCACGAGCAGTTGTTAGTGTTCCTGCTGAAGTTTTATCGTACACCGTTTCATGTGCAAAATGCAAAGTTAAACTGGGATAAAATCCTGCTGGGTAGAAATATAAGAAGGATGTATAGGACCCTCCAATTTGACTTTCGAAATATTTTTTGGCACTCATTGCGGCCGCAAAAAGTGGGAACAGATCTTTTCGATGTAATTGCACAGTAGTTAGAAGTGCCTCGTCTGCCTCTGATGGTAGAACCCCTAGCAAATAATCGACGTCATGTTTGCGGCATGCTGCATCTGTGAATAATATCAACACAAAAATTATAAAATTAATTTTCACAAATTTGACTTGGTTAGTGTATGAGCATAAATTGGGCAACAATTACCAACAGCATTTATTGGGCCACCGAGATCATCCTGCTTCTCAATATCGGTGGCAGGCCCGCAATATCTTAATTAATACCAATAATAAAATTATGTTAATAAAGAATCATTTCATAAAGATTCCAATCGCAACTTCAAAAATAAAAAAACTCATCCAAAATAACCAATTACCTATATCCAGGGAGATTGAAAGGTAATCCGCTTGGCGCCTTTTTAACTTTAGCTTTCTCCAAGGAAAGTATAATACCACGTGGGCGTCGGAGAGATCCAGGATGGAAAAATGCATCTTGACGAAGATGAAAGCAAGATGGCAATTTACCTTCGTTGGTAGGAATAAACGTGTGCTTTCTGGCAAAGAAGGCTGAATGCAGGAGACTTGTGTAGTTGAACCTGATGCATGATATTTGGTTGCACAGAATTAGAACTGTGCATGCAGAAGGAAGAGGAGTAGTGCCTTGAATAGCTTTAGTTACTGCTTGCTTGGTGGTACAGTTCTTCGTTTCAGCCGCTATATTACAATAAGTGTCACTAATTTTTTCCTGAGTTAAGTCGGATAGTTTATTGGATGGAAATGTGTGGTTGGCGTTTGAAATTGTGATGTTATTTAGTAGATAACGGCTGGCATCCACGAAACTTTTAAAATAAAAAGTTACATAGCTTTCACTTCCCCATACCCGTATCTTTTTATTTTCATACTCTACTTCTTCAATTTTGATAGTGTCACTGAAGAACATAACAGTTTCATTAATTTCCATACACATCGTTTGATTACATATCAGAAATCCACTGCAAGTGGATGGTAATGTCTCCTTGAACCAGATAACCAATCCACCCAGGTTATCCGTCTCATCACACACAACTTTAACCTGTTTATCTATTTCTATTTTATCGACATTCGCGCAACTTTTACCACAAACACAATGAACTATATATAACACATACAGTGTTCCATAAATTAAGTTATGCAACGTCATCTTCAATTTTAAAAATTAATAATTGAGCGGATACCAGTAAGTACAAACTCCAAAACTTAAATTTCAAAATGTCGACTGGAGAAGCCAGCAAGGATAAGGGGTCTCCCATCACCTCATATATTTATAATGCATCAGTTTTTAGGGGATATTCATCACCCCAACCATTAACCCAATCCTTCCCCAAACAAGATGGTGCATAAAGATATGTATATGAGAAAGGGACCAGTTTATACAAACATAAGTATGCTGCCTGAGACAGGATATGAAGCCTGGTTACCATGGTTACTATGTTGACCCTTCAGGGACCCTTAACTCTTGACCTATAGGTCAAAAAAATTCAGGAAAATATTTTTATGCTTGCCCTTTGCCAGGGGATTAATTTGATACCCCACTTGCATGGGGTTACCATGGTTACTATTTTGACCCTTCGGGGGCCCTTAACTCTTGACCTGAGGGTCAAAAAAATCCAGAAAAATATTTTTTGGGTTCCCCTTGTCCAGGGGATTAATTTGATACCCCACTTGCCTTTAGTTGTGAGGGAATGATATTTAACCCTTCAAGGGCTCCTAGTTCACGACTCAAGGGTCATAAAAATTTATAAAAATATTTTTCTGGTTCCCCTGGTCCAGGGGATTAATTTGATACCCCATTTGCATGGGGTTATCAGGGAACGCTATTTGACCCTTCAGGGGCCCTTAATTCATGACCCAGGGGTCATAGAACGCTAAAAATAATTTTTCTATACTATTCCCATGCTAGACTTTTATTTTGGACCAGTTTGGAGGAAAAAATTTTTTTGACCGGTGACGTCGTGAAATTAATGCTACAAAGCGGTGTAATAAGTCTGCAGGGTTAGAACTTCATCCACAGTAGTGCAAATTAGGCGCCGAGAACCACACCCACTACGGGTGTGGTTTTTAAATTTTTAATAATCTTCTGGAATTGTGTCACCGGGGTGAGGAAAGAAATACGTTTTGATTTAATTCACCTTACTGTAAAGGCCGAGAACCACACCCCCTGAGGGTGTGGTTTTTAAATTTTGAATTTTCTTTCATTACTTGCCTATGGGGGCCAATAAGTTCAAATTTCCCTTGATAGGACAATTTTGAACAAGTAATTACTCTTTATAATTTTAAAAAGTGCACTTACGTCTTTTTACTAGTTTTTTTTGTGCACTTACGTCTTTTTAAAATTAAACATCGACTGCACTTACGTGGTTTTAAAATTAAACATCGACTGCACTTACGTGGTTTTAAAATTAAGCATCGAATGCACTTACGTCTTTTTAGAATTAGTGCGACGATATACATATTTACGTATTGAATTATGCACGTCAAATTTCAGAAAGTCCGACTCTGGTGAATTCTCGTATGATAAGTGCCATTACTACAATTTAAATTATGCCAGCTTAGCCGACACGTCGGAATCTTTTGAGGAAGCGTTTTCTAAAACGAGCTACGAAGGTGTCGAGATCCTCGAGTGCACACAATGGGATTTTGATCGCACGATATACAAAACAACCATTCCTTCCGAGGTATTCAAAAATAAACAACGAATTGCATAAGAGAAATTCATCGCATTCTATTTCATTAAATCATGATAATCATAGTTCCAACTAGTTTGTGGACGACGATGGATGACAGCTACGATTCAGTCCTCGGTATAAACGTCATTTTCATACATATACTCAAGCCAGAAATTAATTAGTCATGTTTTCCAAGCAAAGTCCTCACTCTTTTATGAATTTTGTCTAGTACATGGCTGGAGGATTGGTGGGAACCGTATTCTTTGGGACGGTCTCCGACAAGCAAGTTTTCTTCCGTTTTCATCGCAATATTTTTCGGCCTTCCTCATCCGGTTGAATTTAATAAAGCTTTTTATTGCAGATTTCTGGGAAGGCGAAAAACTATTCTCATATCTCTGACCATCGTCGTCGTGTGTGGCCTGGCAGCCGCATTTGCAAAGTCCTACTGGATCTTTCTGCTCCTCAGGTTCTTCACCTCGATCGGAGTTTCGGGATCAATTCAAAATTGCTTCGTTCTCGGTAAGTCATTTTTATTATGACCCGCGGGCCCTCTCGTACGCCCATCCGTCCTCTGTCCGCGAACGGCACAGAGTCCACAGGTTAATCCATCTCTGGAAAATATGCCAAACTCTAGAGGGGAAAATTGGACGGCAGAGAGACTGATACTATATATTTCGTACTTTTGTGCATTTCAGTCATGGAGCACGCTGACATCAAGTACCGGGCACTCTTGGGAATGTTGGAGCAGATTCCGTTCGCAATTGGCTATATGATTCTCCCATTGCTGGCCTACTTCATTCGAGACTGGGCCATGCTTCAACTTTCCTTTGGCCTCATATCACTCACCCTCGTGTCCTATTTGTGGTGGTACGACGACGACTGCTCCTACTTACGTAGATAGATACATAGTCCACGGTGCACCAGAATAAATTTCATTTCCATCCATATCCAGGGTTCCAGAGTCGCCACGCTGGCTGGCAACGCATGGAAATGAGGAGGACTCGCTGAAATATTTACTCCGGATGGCAAAAGTCAACAAATTCCCAAAACCGAGCAAAGAAGCTTTGTTGGAATATATTCGGCAGGCCCATCAGCAGCCTCCTCCTCGAGAACAGGAAGAACGGGTCCTCGAGAATGGGGAGGTCAATCTTAAATCCGCCTCCTCCAAATTTAAGCACCGACTCAGAGGGGTGGCAGAAAACTTTAAAAAGCTCATGTCCACGGCAGAAATTCGTAAGCGTTCCTTGGTCTTCTGGACCATTTTCCTGACTGTCTCCATGGTCTACTACGGCCTCGTATTCTCCACCAATTTGACCTCAGATCCCTTCCTTCTCGTCTTCCTTGGGTGAGTCCGTCTGTACAAATACGCGGACTAAAATAACAGTGTGCATCTCACATTTATTCATTACACGCAGCGGATTGATGGAGATTCCTGCCTACCTCCTCACTCCGATTCCTGCCTCCAAGCTAGGACGAAGACCCACAACCTGTGCCACATTTATGTTGACGGGCGTCTGCATGTTGGGGCTGTCTCAAATCGATTCTTGTGAGTCGGCTAAAAAATGATGATGTGTCAAAGCCTTTCTTTCATCAAATTTCCATGCTTGTAATTTTATTATTATTAAATCCGCACAGCTTATGAGACAACGCGGATCGTTTTAGCCATGCTGGCCAAGTTCTTCATCTCATCCACATTCGCAATCATTTACCTCCTGGGAGCAGAACTGTATCCGACCGAGATGAGGACCACGGGCTTGGCAGTCGGCATATTTTGTGGTCGCCTCGGGGGCGGTTCAGCTCCTTACATCGTGGATCTTTTGGTAATTGTGAACTTATGCGTGCCCCTAAAAATACATAATTTCCTGCTAAAATTCATTCTTTTTCCCAAAACAATTTAACATTGAATTTCCCTTCTTTCTGTAAGTAGCAACACATTGGGAAGGACTTTGCGAGCGTTATCTTTGGAGTTTCTGCCGTTGCTGCTGGGTTAGTGGCGCTGGGGCTGCCGGAAACAAGGGTCCTGGAAATGGCGGACAATGTGCACGAAGTGGAGAAGCAGGCCGTGGAGATCAAAGAGAAAAGGAGGATGAGCAGAATGAGCATCACGGATGGACTGACACAACTCTAATGAAATTTTAGAAATAGCTTTTCCAGCCATTAATTGGCTAATAAAAGAAATTGTAAACTTTACCAGCTCAGCCTTTCATTCACTTTTATTCCATCAGTGCATGTACAGATCCTCATATAATATTTATTTCTTGCATAACGTGGTTCAAAAAACTGGAGAACCTCCGTGCCACGCACGTACCCATAAAACGCGACTTATTTTGTTTATGGAGAAAAGTTGAGAGCAATCGTGTTAATAAATCAATCAACTGTCACGAAAATGATTACGAAGGATCCCACCCAATCAGTGCAACAACGAATTGACCAATTTGCAAGCAACCCAATCGACTTTTCACAGCAAATAAGAAGAGATTATATTCATGTCCTCCTTCTTTCATGCATTAATTAACTAATGTGTTCATAAGGATTCCCCTCCAACTTTAGTATTGGATGCAATAGGAAGAAACTCGACTTTAATACAGACGTACAAGTTCATGACTGGAGATGGCACGAACAAAAAACACGTCATTTGGCATGGAATATTCTTAAAATTTCAATATAATTTGACATGAATTAAGATGTCAAAAGTTAAGCTTCAGACTAAATTCGTCGTAAGAAACCACTCTAGTACAGAAGTCGATATACATATGTACATGCATGCATAAGAGCCTGACTTGGTCCAGGGTCTCGTTCCAGCCACGCTACGTACGTACGTAAAAAGTCAACATGAATTTCCAGAGTGGATTCCGTTAGCTCCAGAAGTGCTTACTTATTACTGTAAAACCACTACTGCGAGAAACTTTTCATTTGATCAGAACTGTTAATACTTGAGACTTGAGTGACAGAGTATATTAATAAATATGGGATTTCTTATTCAACTCTGAAAATGTTGAGCTGAGCAAATCGTTTCCTCAAAAATTAAAATTAAGGAAATTTTCCACCGTACAAAGATTAACGAAATGACGGCAAATCAAAGAACCTCCAATGCAGTGGAGAAAATTGGGTTTGAGAAGGTATTCGAGTTGGTGGGAGGCCACGGGAAATGTCAATGGATCCTCATGTGGATTTTGTCCCTCCAGGTACGCATTTTTACGTTAAGACTAAAAATTAAGGCGTACAAAATGTATGCGTTTCACACTTTGCATTTTTTATACAAGATTTGAATGTGTGCATTTAGTTAATATTTCTCACTTGGAACCATTTGGGCTACATCTTCATCGGAGCGGTGCCCACGCATTGGTGTCAGATTGAACTCTTGGAGAAAGCCACCAACTGGACGGCTGCTGAAATCAAGGAACTTTCTCTTCCCAAGACAATGTAAAGTTCATAAATATGCACCTTCTGCTCCCAAAAAAGTGCATGCATAATGTTTCTCTCAACAATTGCTTACGATTAGAAATACGAATGGTGACCAGGATTGGAAGTACGATTCGTGCAAGTATTACGATCGTGACTACGATTACATTGCGACGCGGTTTGGAAACAACTACAAGGAAGCGATCGCATATGTGCAAGGAAGCAATAGCGACGAAACCAAAACTTGTGCAAAGTGGAATTATGACAACTCAATCTACAGCTCAACAATCGTTACGGAGGTTAATTAATTATCTGATTGTGCCCCCAGATCTATTAAAAATAGCGCTAAATAAGAAAAAATTGGATCCGCTCTCTGATTCCAGTTTGACCTGGTCTGCGGTCGGCGATATTTGGCTGCGACGATCCAGTCAACCTACATGATTGGTGGTCTCGTGGGAACATTTCTTTTCGGTACGCTCAACGATCGGTTAGTACGAAAATTGACGTTCTGCATTAAGTAGTGATCGATGAAACGGGTTGCGATAAATGACGGCACTAATGATTATTGTGCTTTCTTCCCTTTATTACCACTTCCGTCATGTGTGTCTAATCTGTTGCAGGGTTTTAGGAAGGAGAAATTCCGCCTTGATATCCATCATTTTAGTTCTGCTGGGAGGATTCGCAGCCACTCTTTCCCAATCTTATTGGCTCTTTGTGTTCATTCGACTCTTCATTGCAATTGGTAATTAATCATTTTTATTTACTTGCGATTTCCTGGCTGAAATCTCAATTCTGCAGAAATACGTGGTAAATGTATGACACCGTCGTGTTCATTTTCTTTAAATTAACTCGGAGCTCCAAAATCACCAACGATTTTTGAATTAGTTGTCTGAATATCACGATTCATTTCGGCATCATTCGTCATCATGCAGTTCTCATTCGTACATCGTAATGATTATTTATGCCTTCTGTCCTTCATGCAGGTACCGCTGGTTGTATGCAGGCTTCAAGTTTGTTAAGTACGGGGAAAAATATAAATTCAACATCAATTATTACACAGTTAACCACGTTTAAACTTTTTGTTTGTAGTTTTGGAGCATTGTGACATTGGAAGTCGAGCAAAGTTCTACAGCATTACGGGAGCATTTTTTGGAGTAGGCTACGCCATCATGCCGATTTACGCGTATTTTATTAGAGATTGGGTCATGTTGCAATTAGCATTTTCGGCAACTACTCTTCTTCTCCTCTCCTATTTTTGGTACAGCCCAAATTCACCTCTTTGTAAATAATTACTTCTACACACGGTACAAATACATCATTGTCAACCAGGTTGTTTCCGGAGAGCCCACGCTGGCTGGCATCCTCAGGTCGGGACGAACAAGCGGTGAAAGCACTGGAAAAGATTGCGAGATTGAATGGCAAACCGAAGCCGAATAAGGATCAGCTCTTGGTTTTGATTCAATCCTGCCACAAACATCACGGAGGAGGAGACTCTGAAGGCGAAGGGAGATCTCAATTTGGGAGAAAGTTGCAAAGTATTGCTTACAACATTAAATCATTGTTGGATACTCGAGAAGGATGCAAAAGAACGCTGACGGTGTGGATGCTCTTTATCGTGGTTGCTTTCGTCTATTATGGGTTCGCATTCTCCACGAATCTCACCTCCAACCCGTACCTCCTCGTCACAATCGGGTAAACTTTCTCCCACTTGGGTACATTTCAATATTTATGTTTTCCTCTTGTCTTTCCCCTGCTCAAAGAATCCAAGAATCGTCAAAGCAAGAGAACCAAAAACTGCTTATGTACATACTTGTTAGTAATTGAGTATGCCTTTAAACCATTTCAGAGGATTAATGGAAATTCCGGCCTGCATCGTGCCAGTGCCGTTTTTGTCAATGTGGGGCCGACGACCCACCACAGCCATTTGTTATTTTCTCACTGGAGCCTTTGCCATTGCGATTGCCGTCACTCCACCTGGTACTTTCTTTCTTAAGGAGAAATACATAAGTCTTTGAGAGAGTAGTAAGAAATACTTTCAAGTGCGATTATATCCTTGATTCTCCTCTCGTAGAATATGAAATGCTGCGGATCGTGTTTACAATGGGTGGGAAGTTTTTCATTGCTGCAGCCTTCAACGTGATCTACCTCGTCATAGGGGAAGGTATCTCTTTGTCCATTCATCCAGTCTTGCCATAATTTTGAAACGCACCACGTGCACGTTTACCCATGCGAACTCCTTATTGTTCTCTAGTCTACCCCACCCTCATCCGTTCAACTGGACAATCTGCGGGAACAATAATGGGACGTTTTGGGAGCATTGCGGCCCCCTATGTGGCAGATCTACTGGTCGGTCCATTATTTGTGACAATACGACAACCGAAATTTATCAAAATCAGTGGGATAATTTCACTTGTTTTTACTTTCTCCAGACAACGGTGTATCCCGACTTGCCGTGCGCAATATTCGGAGTGGTGTCAATTTTTGGAGCAGGTGTCGCTTTGATGCTGCCAGAGATGAAGGACATGGAGATGATGGATCAAGTGTCAGAACTTGAGCTGGAGAAGCTGTAACGACGCTTCCCTCCTGCACAGCCATCGGACTCGTGTTTACCATGCGACTTTCCCTACGATTGTACAATCCGCTTTCCACCTTAAACTTGTTAATTGAAGAACTTGTCAACACATAATTATGTCAAAGAGTACAAAGAAAAAGTGGAAAGTGTATTCTTCACTGGGTTCGACAAGCGGAAGACAATAATTAAATGCTCAAAATTTATTTGCCTACATAGTATTTATTCTGCCCACATTTTACTTTCACCCTTTATTTGCTACTCCTCATATAAGATCTTTATTTCTTTCTCTGCCCGTCCTCACTGGTTTTGAGGCCTTTGTAAAAAAAGATATCAAAGAAGTTTGAATTTACAGAAAAGTTTTAATTAATTGGTGTTGTTAGTCCCGACTATGGCATGCGTATTTTTAGCAAAGTTTTTAATTGGGCAACTTGCTAGTCGTTCTCACTCCGGTCGAGGCGAGGAGTCTGACACACAATGATTATTATTTTGTTTCCCAATTTCACTGCACAAATCTTTGTGCTGGAGGAGAAGAGCATGAATATGTGATAAACTACCATCATCCACACCTACTTACCTGTGCTGCTTCATTTCGCAGTTCTGCATGTCTGTTCCCAATTAACTGCCTGCATTCGAATACGACTGGTTCATCAAAACCAACTGATTTTCCACTCACCTTTCATCCACTCGCTGACGTGCCTGCCTGGATTACAATCAGTCATCCTCACTCGGAATGAATTTCGTGCTAAATCCACTTTTGATCTTTTTTGAGGATTTTTTACCAGCAACAATTGCTCTGTGCACATGAATGTAATGATTAACTCTCCTCCTTCAATTATTAATCATGTAAAATATTCATAGAATCAACTTTGTGCACATCGCATACAGAAATATCTACATCGGACAAATGAGATGCACACAAACTTTGTTTTTCACAACATGCATATCAATTATTCGTTGGATGGAGGAAGCTCGGAGCGTATTAAAATTATCAATAAATCCGCTAAGTTGGGATTATATTAATCTCTCCATGCTTTGATACATTGTGAAACTGCGATTGTTGTTTGCAACACCAAATCCGTGGTGGTTAAGGTTATCAGTTTATCTGCACGAGAGATACTACTTCGGGTTTTTAAATCTGTCCCCTAAACGGCGTCTGAAAAGTTTAGTTTGACCTTTGTTACGTGTCCAGGTACATGTTTTCGTCTGGACTTGACAGCAGTAGTGGTAAGTTCAGAGTGATGACAACCGCATATTTTCATATTCTGTATGACAAGTTAATATAACAAAATACGTAATACCATACCACCAATTTTCCTGGAGGCAACTTTTTGAAACAATTTCACCACTCTTTGACGTGGCAGGTCAAACTGTGAGAAATCGCAAAGTTTCCAACCTGTCGTATGTAAAATGTAATTGTACAGTGTCAAAGGCGTTTGTCAGGTTCCTTTCCAATAATAATGACCCTGTGGTGAACTTGTTTGACTTGTTCCCACCAGAAATGACAGGTTGACCTATCAAATATGGATACAATTTGAATTATTTAATTGGTGCCCCAAATTTTGACGTAGACGTGAACTGAAATGTATTTTGTGTGCGTAGGTGTCAATCAGAAACGCTAAGAAAGGCTGCGCAATTTAAGAGAAATGTATTTCCTCCGCATTTCTAACATCATTTCGATGACGCTCCGAATTTTGTTGGGCTTACTTCCGCTTCTCCACCTGACAGTTGCAGCGTCCTACAACCAACCATGCAACCCGACGACCCATTGTGACACGGCTGTCGGTCTGGTCTGCGATGCTGGACTTTGTCGCTGTTCTAGCGGATCATTGACAAACCAGGTGTCCTACAACCTGGCGTGGGACTCGAGCCGAGGAATCTGCGTGGGTCAACACCTGTCCGCTTGCACAGGGACGAGACAATCCCCCGTCCCCGGAGGAATGAAGGCTGTCCCCTGTTTGGACCAATTGACCTGCGTCCAACTACGCGACATGCCCATGGGCGTTGGCTCGTGTGAAAACGTGCCCAAGGTCTCCCTCATCGGAACAACCTGTAGCACAGACACCTTTTGTGACTCGTCTCGAAGTCTGGTGTGCACCGAGGGACGCTGTGCTTGTGCCACTTCGAGGCTTAATACGTCCCCTGAATACCAATTGGTCTGGGACCTTGACATGAACGACTGTGTGGCGCCGATCGGGGCTGCCTGCGTTGGAACAAAGGAATTTCCTGTAGCTGCTGGACACAAAAGTATTGCCTGCATTTTGGAAGCGGATTGCCTTGCGGTTGCTTCCCAACCACCTGGACTCGGAATTTGCACATCTCGCTCCACACCAAACAGTGCAGAACTGCTACACCCAGGAATGTTGCAGCTTTTAATATCGACCTGCGTGATTGCAATGTTTCGCTAATTAGATTTTGTCATCTGACTGAACCTGTTATCTTCCGTGTAGTCAATTTCTCGCAATTCGTATGATAATAAAAAGTATGCCGATCTGTACATGGAGGTCAACTTACTATCTAGACTAATTAATAATATGTTTTACTTTTCGTTGCATGTTTCTGAATATTTTTTACTAACATTCAATGCTGCCAGGTTAATGGGTTAAAATCTGATAATTCAGTGAATACGAATAAATGTAAATACACGTACATTGTGTTATCACAAGTGTCGAAATAATAGAATAAATCAATATGGAGATATGGCCACGTTATGCACCTAGATATTTTCATAAGCATATTCGGTTGCTCAATAACTGCGACTTAACTCATGCAAAAAGTTTAAAGTTTAAAACTGATTTAAAAAGTTGGACTGGTTTGCAATATCTTGTACTTGGAAAAGAATTATTTAAGCATTTTGAGAATCGATACTTGAGTTGATTAAATGTGTAAGATAAGGTGTGGCAAGTATCATATCGCATCGTATCAGATTCATATCGTGATTTGACAAATCATATTTAAGTATTGCATGTAAAGTTCAATTACTGAAATTAAAGCGACGGTGTGTTTATGCAAAGTTGACAAACTAGAGCTCAATCGATATAAATACTGAGAATTTATTTTTGGTGTACTATCGTTTCAGGGCTAAACAAGTACATATATTAAGACAATTTTTTTTATCACTCCCATTTCTCAGGGTTTAAAATCTGCAGCTATTGATTATTGTGTGTCTAACGGTTTAAAGAACCTTACCGCCTCCAATATACCCATTTCTTCTTGTGGAGATTCTTGTAATACAAACACATCACATATAATTTTGCATACATAGTTTTGCCATTGTAAAGTAATGTTTTTTTCTTTTCCTTTTTTTAGACGGGTGTCAAATATTGTTGTATTGAAGGACAAATCTCTATATATTTTCACCACATCGAAGCTATGGTGCCCACTATGTTCGCCTTACTTATCTTGTCAATTTCGAATTCAATAAGTTCCCAGGATAACGATGAGGGACAGATCCACAAAAGATCGCATGGAGAAACCTGCTCACACCGGGACGACTGCGACTATGCGAAGCACCTGCATTGCTTTGAGCGACATTGTCAGTGTTACTCCAGAGTGACACACATAGTGCCTGCCACGCCGGATCATTTTCTGGCCATGGAGTGGGACCCAGAGAGGGCCAGTTGCTTCTCGGTTTTAAATTCGATATGTACGGGAACTAATGGAAGTCAACCACCGCCTAAAAAGATCCACGCAAAGTGTCTCCCGCATTTGGAATGTGTACCACAGGACGATCTGGACGAGGGGATTGGCACGTGTCAACTCCCATTCACATCGGAGGAGGAGGAAGAAATAGTACAAGAATCTCCTTTCAGTGATCATAATACGCAATCAGCTCCATGCTCGGGAAATGCGGCAATGCGGATGACACGTGTTGACAGAAACCTTCCTCTAGTAATCAAACTATTGTTTGGAACATTGTTATTCATTACTGCAAATTAGCTCATAAACAGATGAGGTCATTTACTAGTTGAGCGCATTACTCGCTATGAATGCAAGATTGTGTGTACATGTGGTTGAAGAATATTCCAGAACATATATTCTTACGAGGATTGTCTCGATTTCTTGTGGAAAACGTAATAAAAGCACGTTTGATGGTATTATTTAGTGAAGAAATGGGCGACAAGTACTAATCGTATTGGAGTATGTGGGCATAAATGGGGGATTCACCTGCCATGGGTTTGATTGCAGTGCATAAAATATAAGTGCCAATTCTTGCGAGCCAAGCCAGCCCGAAAAGTGGAGAACAAAGAGGATATGGTCATGATTACGGGGTTCATGGAACGCGTCGTGGTTGTTGTCAGAATTATCTTGGTCTTCTCTTTATCCAAAAACTCCACATTTTTTGCATCGTCAAACTGAAACCCAAGTTCACCTTGCCAATCCAGATTTCAATGAACTCGGGAGAGCAGTATAGTAAACTCATATCTAATAAAGATATGAGCTCTGCCACCCTTTCGCCACCACCGTCGCCCGTCGCCCGTCCGTATCCAGACACAGAGATGTGTGGCTGCTTTACTGAAAACTAAAATATGGATTAGAAGACCATTATTTTTAACTAATTCGTTGTCATCTGCACAACTGCACTACATAATTACGTTATGAATAAGTATCTATTTGCAAACTATCGATCTAGACGCACTGCATACTAAATTGGTCATCATGGTCCATTTTTGTATCTTTAGGCAATTGAAGCATTTTTGCACAAACGTCACGATACTAATTTCAGATAAATAATGTATGTAGATATAATTAATGAATCATTAGCATATTGTATGCAAAATAACCATTGCATAACGTGGGATTATTCAACATACGTTTTTAATAATTTTTACGTCCATTATTTTTTGCATTTACTCCAAATGCTATCACATTGGGGAATCTAATGTAGGTTTGTGGGACCGGATGTGGATTTATATTTATAGTTACGGTCAACAAGTGGCGACTGCAAGTGTATGCCGACGGATTCAATAACTTTAGGCATCATTAATTGAAGCCTGGAACTTGCATGGCTTGCAAGTAGGTACATACATAAAACATAAGCAAATAAAGTATTTTCCCATCCGTAGCGATATTCCAGAAAAGAGAGGGGAGAATTTTTAGTAGATCATTGTCTCAAGAAAGAAGAGGCCGAATCCATCCGGCGTGTAATAATGTGTCCCTCCTCGCCCTTTTCTCGAATAAATGCATCTGCTCATGCACTCGTGGAAAATTTTGAAAAGAGGCACACACAGGATGGCTTAAGTTTTATATAATTATAAGCAAATGAGAATTCCATGCGGGTGGGGATTGGAGTCATGTAACAACCGTCACTTTCAGCACATTCTAGATGCCTGCTTGGAGTCTATGCTGTATCTGTGGAGCTGTTTTTGCCAGCTTGACCTTGGCCATGACGAGCGGCCAAAAAACTCTGGAAACACATCCCATCGTGTATGGTACCGTGTCGTGCAATTCCACTTTGTTCGGTATGGACGATCCCAAAACCACTCTCACTTATTATACGTTTTTATCATTGCTTACATGTTATCAACCGGCACACAAGACGGGTTATCGTCCAACTCGCTCCCCTCCACATCCACCTCAAAGTCGTGCACGTACAGTGGTCGTTGCAAACCCGTACGTCCCTACCTACGCTATGCTCAAAGTTGTTTGATACTGGATCATCTTTATTCGCAACAGCTCACACATTGCTTACACGACTTTATTGCCATTTCAGATTATGTTACCGGCTTCGCTTGGCGAAATTTTCCTCAGTTGCGGTTTTCCCTTCTCCAAGTGCAGATCTCATTACTGTCAATATCGCCATTCGTTCACTCCACGGAGCCAATTACTCCCCTCTTCTCCTTCTCCTTGTTGATTAGCAGGGTCGAATTTTGAGGAAAATGTCAAAGCACGCATCCGAGAGCCAGGCTGAGGTGAGTCCCTCCAAGAAGTTCAAGGGCGGAGAGGGTGAGACGCCCAAGTTCAAGCTCACCTACTTCAATTTCCGATGGCTGGCTGAACCCATTCGCTACATTTTGCACTACGTGGAAGAGGACTTTGAAGACCACCGCATTGAGATGGATGATTGGGAGAAGGTCAAAGCCGGTAAGTGCATCCAATTTCCCGACTGAAATCCCTTTGTCGTTGCACTGAATGGACAGGAGAAAATATAATTTATCTCCAAATCAATATTCCTACGTGCATGTGCACAGCGCATGAAAAAGTGCAATCTTATTAACGGGAAATTTTCATGCATGCCAGAATATCCGTACGGCAAGGTCCCCGTGTTGGAATGGGAGAACAAGAAGCTGAGCCAATCCTTCACCATCGCCAGGTTCCTAGCCAAACAGTACAAGCTCACGGGCGCCGACGACTTCGAGTCCGCAAAATGCGACGAGTATGCGGATGTGGTAAAGGACATCCTCAAAGGTGGGTGATACATGTTCTTGCTCAAATGCATTGTAGCATATGACAGTGACGTATCGAGATTCGAAAAAGTATGACAAATTGCTTTATTCTGTGTGGTTGCAGAGGTTGAGACCATGTGGCACGAGGACGAGGCAAAGAAATTGAAGATCAAGAACAACGTTCTGGACAAAACCCTTCCGGCCCTCTTCACCAAAGTGGAGAACGACTTGAAGTCCAAGGACGGGAAGCACTTGGTTGGGAGCGGGTTCACTTGGGTGGACTTTGTCCTCGCCCACTTCACCGAGGCGTTCGAGTCCTTTGTGGACCCCTCCTTCCTCTCCAACTACCCAACCATCAAAGCTCACCAAAAGAATGTTCAAAACATCCCGCAGATCAAGGAATGGATTGCGAAACGACCAGTCACCGAGTATTAGCACGACTTTTCCAAAATGACGCCTGCCTGAGCGTCCCCTTTTTCGCATCATTTCTTACTCATCATGCACTTTTTCAGTAATTATTACTTTGTAGAGCATTAGGACAAATATGTAAGAAGCAAACACACTTTATGATTGTTTAATTAACTTTGCATGTTTACTAACCTTGATGGAACATGACAGAATAAAAGCATTCGAAACCCAACTCCCTAAAACACTTTGTTCATCTTGCTGGTCATTCGTCGTAACGTTAATGTTTTTCAAATGAGATGCAGCATTTCACTACAGCTTCATCTGCTTCTGGTTTCTGTGCAGTGTACATGCGTCATTACAGAATTACAGAATTATTCGCACATACTAGACTCCATTAATGCTATTATTAAGCGTAATAATGTCAGTCAACGTGCGCTTTTAGTTTCAAATGCAGGTACATAATATGAAAAAACAATTACGCACTGCATTGACTGACACTTAGAGCACACTCGTGCAAAAATAAGTTGCTCTATTTTAAGTAGTGGAAAGTTGGGAGGGATAATCCTGGAAAACAATTCAGATAGCGATGTACTCGATTATCTTCAAAACATGCGATCAATCAAGTGGAAGCACGTGATTGATTTGGCTTTGGGAAAATGTGCAGGCCTCTCGTGCAACAAACGGGAGTCTGTCGTGCCTGCTATAAATATGCAAATTGGAAAACATTAGCTCACCTTTGGAGGTATGTATCTACTTTATGGAGTACTCCGGGCGGCCGTCACTCAAACACCAGACAGGTGAAATCAGGAATAATCGTCAATCGCAAATGAGTATAAATAGGAACATGCACACTTGTCCGGTTTGCATAAGAGTGCTTCCAGACAAAATTAGTATTTTTTATAGCACAAGAAGACCCAATCAGTCCATAACTCCAATAAAACAGCATGAAAATGTATGCAAAAAGGTCATGGTTCGTTCTTGCAAAGAGAGAAAAACGATTTGTATCCAGCTCAATGTTATCGACGTGGCGTCTTATTACTCAATTCTTGATTGGTCAAAAAATCGGAAAAATCTTCAATCCTTCGGATACAAAGTTAAGTATATATAAAAAATCGTTTAAAATTGAGCTGTTCCGATGATGCCCGGGACGGAATATTAGTATGATGATGAGGAAAACTTCATGAATACCAAATTTGGACATTCCTTTTCTTGAGTCAAGCGATGTCGAAGTGGAGCAATCTAATCTGCTTTTCCCCTTTTCCTAAATGGTAACCGTCCCTGTTTGATTCACGTCGTAATGAGGAAAATATATAAGTGGTCCCACGGAAATGGCCATGAATTTGTTATGACCCAGCCCAAAACCAAGCTCGGGCATTTCAGGATGAGGTGATTTCTCACCGGGCAGCAGGAGGGGTTCACGTGCAGGTAGCACAGGATAGATAACTGTTCACCGGAATTCCTCAACTACTTCCTGGATTTTCAGAATCTTCCCACAGGATTTCCGTTGTATTAAGAAGCAGACAAGGACCCTGCATTCGTAGTAACTTGAGTTTTTAGCCCGAACCAGAGCTTATGCAATCGGGACGTTCGTTGGCGGCACGATAGCGGACGAAGGTCTGAAACGATTCTGACCAAATTAGTCTTAGGATTGAATTAGTTCTAAAATGGGCATTATAGGTCATTAAACATGGTCATGGTCAATTAAGCACGTGAGAAGGCGAGTGTCGTGAAATGTAAGCCAGAAAATTCTGATCTTCGCTGACAGTAATAATAATTTAATGAATGGTAAAAACCAGTTGGCATTAGGGAAAAATAATTTTAGAAAATTAATAAATATGTGGGAAACTGATACTAAATGGAGATGCCACATTACTAAAATATTGGTCAGGAGATGAGGAGGAGGAGTACGTTCAACATTTTCAACGCCAGATTGTGATGCCCTTTGGATATGCTGTAGGAATATGTACAGGAAAAGTGAAGGAAGGTTAAGGCCCTCTCACCCACTTTAAGGGACCAAACTCACCAGCATACGTTCTCCTACAGAGCTTAACTGGTCGTCGAAATGAAGATAGACACGACACGAACACGAGTATGTACATATGTATACTCGTAATTACTGGCTCGGGCCATATCAAGTATGCACTTTAGATCTTAAATGTTGAGCAGTATGCACATGAAAGCACATGTACACACATATATTTCCATATTATGGAATTTACATTGTATAATTTGCTACTATGATGTGGCAGATATAAAATCTTTGTTTTGCCGTTTTATAGTGATTGTAGCATAACTCGTAGTAAGGAACTCTGACCTCGAAGCACAATGTTCAATAATTATACGCTAGCCTACAAATGTCGTGTATCACATGTTCGCACCATGCTAATTAATTTGCTACTTCGTTAACGCCACCACAAGGAAAAGATCACGGGTGAAATTCCTCTGCTGATGAACTGCTCGTTGTTTGTCTTGGAGAAAATTTAGTGCGGTGGGACGGAAATGAGTCAAAGAACAACTGAACCATCGCCAATATTATTGTAGGAAAATAACACGATGAATCATCGTGATATAGACATCGAAGCAGTGTTATATACCTGATGAAAGTCAGGTTTCGTCGTTTCGCAAGGTTCTGGCTGCAGACATACAGCGTAAAACTGGAGAATCTTGCAAAGTCAAAGTCAAAGAGATTGGTAGCGTCTGTGTGTTCATTGTGCATGAAATACGCTTTAATTATACCAGGGCGCTAATGACGCGCGCTCAGTAGCGTGGAAAAGTGATACCCACTTCAAAATTCAAATAAAGCCGATGTTAACGAAGGTATTTTAATGAGACACTTGTACTTTCGAGGAGGATACAATATTTATACAGCTACAAAGTTTGGCCCGCCTCGCCTCAATTGAAATTTTCTACAAAGAAATTCCCAACGAGCAGTATAACATTATGAAATTCCTTGCAATTAGCACGACCATTGTGGTATTATTCATTATGCAACCTGTCAATATGCATGCTTATGTCCATCCATGGCATGTGAAGTAACAACGAAATGTGAATTTAAATAAAATTAAACCCAACTATTAAATCACAATTTCAAGGCGCATATTTGTGACTACTGAGACAGTATTTTACGTAATTTCCCTACAACATTTTCAAATTCAAATGTCAGACAATCAAAAATAAATGTTTAAAATTATATAAAAAAACAATTTGAGTGAAAAATATTGTTAAAGAACAAAGCACGGTTTTGCTTTAATTGGAATTCAGCCAATTGTAATAACGAGGCTTGGAGAAGGATACATTTGACCAGAATCAAAAATCAAAGTCAATAGGTTTTGATGACGACTTGCATCGCAGTCAAAGGCTCAAGTTTTAGAGGACGAGCGAGGAGACGAGAACTTTTCGTATCAAAGGTTAGAAATTGAATTACTTCATCGCAGCCTTGTGGATGGAGGCTGTCTTTGAAAGAGAAAGACCTTTCTTTTCGTTGCCATTGAGCACGGTGGAAGAATCAGTGTCGGGTCTGGTGGATATCATCTCACATAAAACTCGGCTCCTCCGTATTTAGTGCATAAACTGTAAACCGACGAAATGTTTTATAATTCACAACAATGTTTTACCTCGTTAGATAACTAACCCAGAAATAATTCAAACCCTGAAAGCATGAGGACACATGAGCACACACGAGACGACGAGCAGCAACCTGCAGCATCTGAGTCCCTGAGGGAGCCGTATCTCGTTCTTGGTCTTGCCTCGTTTCATTTCATCTTCTTCTTCCCATGACTAAAGATTAAGCAGGATTCTCCCAGAACTGAATCCACATCGTCTTAAAATAAGTACTCCTCCCGTGGAAGTGAAAAGCCGGATTAGAAGACGGATAGGTCTGAAGGCTATACGGGATGGATAACGGAGAATAAAATCTTTTGTGGGGAACCAAGTGCACCCAGGAGGAGACCAAACAAGATTTAAGACACCAACAACTACCCAATAAATTCCTCGTGTCCTTTTGTCTACCTCATTTTTGCTCAGGTAAGATTAAGAAAATTAAACGACGGTATAATGTCGCCATCCTTCGTCGGCGTGTCAGTATCGAGGCGTTTTACGTCGTATCCAGAATTTCGCCCACACGAAAACCATACGGAAACGGGTTACTTATCCTTTTTAGCTTCTACTACAAGCGAGTTAAGTGACAAAACTGCTCCCAGGCAAAAATCCTTCAATCCATGAATTTGTGTAACTCTTTTAAACTTTTAAAGTAAAGGTTTGGTCGTTCAACTCAAGAAATTTTGAATTGACGTGGGCTGAACCTTTCTCCATAATAAGAGAAATTCTGGTCACTGAAAGTGACACTAAACTCTTCGATCAAACTTTTAAAACTTTATACTTCATACTTCACTCCGGGCTTGAAATGAATTTTGCCACGAGTGCTCAAATACGCATCGTCGTCGTACATCAGTCGAAATTCCCGAATTTCCAATTTCCGCTCGTCTATTTAAAATGCCAGCAATTAAATAGACAGGGAAATAGGTGCGTGGTTTCCGCCATTGACGACTGCCTCTCCTATCTTAATTTTCTTGATTAATATCCCAGATAGGTTATGGTCGTAAATTTCGAGCTTTCCGCATGCCACGAACCACATCAATCCGCCGCTCCTCGTTTTTAAAACAACCAATTTAGTCGGGCTATTTGCCCACCCAAATTGTCCCTTCATTTCATGTCACACACGTACGTACGTAGGGACCCCACGTGACTAGAGAGCTTTCCATTTGCAAAAAAAAAGTTTGGAAAGCAAAAATGTCATTTATTTTGCCAGTTCAGGCTTGAGATTTCGCTAGATTGCATCGTCGATTCGTTTTCTACCCTTGAAAATAGGACTGTCGTTTGGTGAAGTCGTAGAACTATTGAACATCAATATCGCATTTCTCCAAGCCAAACCTTATACTTGGTCATTAATATCGATCCCGACATGTTTTCCTTAACGATCATTACGACTGACAAAATGTTGTAAAATTGAACCACTCTTTCTTTCATAAAGTATGTCGCTAACAAAGAAATACAATACTGACATGCTATCCACGGGAATTGTTTCCAGTGTGTGCATACATATGTACATACACCACCTGCACCTCCCTTAGTATTCGTACATAGGCAGCTCTCTAGACACGCCGTTATACAACGGATGGAACAATGGTCTTCACAACTAAGCTGTCTCATGCATACTTATCTCTCGGCTTTTCTTCTTTACCTTTCTTACGTACAATACCAATCGAATGTACCTATTTTCAAGAGGAGGTAATGCACTCAGGCATATTTATAAGCAATTCTTTGTTTACAGAGAAATTTTTCCCTGTGTTCGTCTCAAATGTCATAGTGCACAAGACCTTCTTCTGAGAAAGTAAGTGGATGCAGAGGATTTTATGACAAGAAATTAATCTCAGGTTGTGGTCAAGATAGACTCCCCACACAGACACTGGTCCAAAAACTTGGGGGAATTGGATTTGCACTTTCTCCTCTTCCACCAGCACGCATACGCTGGAAAGGAAAGCAAAGTATAGTACAGAGACAAGACACACTGTTTATGCGGCTGGTCTTCCGTGACTAAGCTTCATGACCGTAAAAAAGTTCACCTGCTTGGAGGACGGGTAGGAAGCAGGAACGTGTGTGAATCATCACTACTGCTATCACTGTGTGCAGAGGAGAAAGTCCTGTCGACCCACGAAGCAGCACTATCCCAATTCCATTGTTACACCTTTTTTCTACTTTATTTAGTTCACATCCATCTGCAAAGAAATGCTGTTGACAGTTCACCTCCAGTTCAATCAAACAAAACATGCAAGCCACCGAGAGCTTTTTTCCATTCGAACTAGAGCTGCGTACAGGGTGGCAAACTACATGTGCTCTGAACCCAACTACCCCGAATAAGATGCGGAAGTGTAAATGCATAACCAGAAAAGTTCACCGTGTTTTAGCTCCGTTTTCATACCGTACTTTTTAGTATTACGAAATAAGGTCTTCTCCAGCTTCTCCATCTTCTTGCCTTGACATGCATCTCCAGCAGACTCACTTATTTACCCTTTCCTGTGATTTACCTAATTTCATATCAAACCTCTAAAATCCGGTTCATGTTTCCACCACACAAAACGAAATGGGATGCTTTCAGGGTGTAATCTACGGAACAAGAGTGTGTTACGTAAGGAGGGAGGCCGACATGTCGCATAGGTGGGGACGCACCTGCACTGCCAAATGTGAGAATGTAGCAAATGACAGTGTATCTCATTTCTGTGGGAGATGAGGAGCAGCGAGGTTTGCTAATATCTCGTACCACTCACTCCATCAAAACCCTGCTCACTTATTGCATTGAGTGAAAGTCCGTCTGACACGAACCTGACTCTCGCATTATCATATGAACCGCCTCCCAACTTTCACTTTATGTTACTCCACTCGCTTCTCCACTTTCTCCCTCCTCAACTTTCCTCTCTTGCTTCCTACACCACTTTTAGTGTGCTTCGAGCAGCGCTCTGTGTCTGGTGGTCCGCTCAACTTCTTCTTTCTCCTTCGTCATCTACCCTTCCTTCCTGCGCTCCTCGTCGTCGTCGTCCTGAGACTCTGAGTGAATTTCCAAGCTTTCCACTACTTTGAGCTTTCTCCTGCCTCGCGTTATTCGACCACGTCGATTCCTCCATCAAAGTCGCAAACAAACATTCTCTCGGTGGCGGTGGTGTCGGTGTCAGCGTACTTGTGCTTTATCATTCATTCATTAAACAACCACCATGACCGAACAACCAACCTCTCAACCACGGGACAAGAAAGTGCAAATCTGTGTGAGAGATTTTACTTTGTCAGTGAAAAAGTAGTAAACGAACTGTCGTCCATTCCCAGATATTCTTGGGTACTGAGTGGAAAGGGCTATTTTCTCCGAATGATGTTGAGGTGGTGTTAGCTGGTTTGGGGTGACAGACAGACACGTGTTTATTACGTCGGGTTAGCCTCATTACAACAGCAACATGCCAAATTCAAGTCGGGATGCTTTTCCCAAAGGTCAGTGTTGCATTTCCAAACTGCATAATAAAATATTTCATAATTTGATTTCGCATTATTCGCATTCCTCGTGGCCACTAGAAATGCTAAACTGGAAACCCCTAATAAAATCCGTGGTATTATTGTTGTCAATATTTATGAGGGCAGTTGTGATCACGGAAATTTAGTGTAATTGCTACACGATCGATCGGTGGGCTTTAAAATTTACCTGGGGAAAGAACATGGCGAAATTGTGTCGCATTGACCATAGGACCATTGAGTTGGCAAGGGCTTTGCTCGTTGAAGAGTAAGTGCTGCTTTAACTCAATTGGACAAGAATGGCTAAATTCATTCAATTGGAGCGAGGCACATAAAAGCGTTATCACAAAATACCCTTCAGTCAGAAGAACCAGGAGTATAATGCACAGCACAAGTGGTCGTTGGTAAGTTTGGCGTTCAATGCAATTGCGGGTAGGAAGAGGACTTGTGTTTGTATGTTGTGGCTGTTGTTTCGCCATTCTGCATGTATGCATACGACATTCGGGAGGACGATATTGTTGAGTTTTATTTGGCCCATTCCCCGACTGGAGAGCTTGAGAGGGCAGCAGAGATAAAGCTACTTACTCGAAGGTGAATCAAGGTCCAGAGAGAACTGACTGGAATCAAATTGCATTATTTATTTTTATTGAGTTTGAACATGGAAGGCAGGCGAGGCGTAAAGAAAGACAATCATTGTCCAACACGAGAACAAGTCACGCCAGAAAGAAGGCAAAATTTAATTTGCGTGTGTTTGAATGGATCCGGTTGAATGCTCACCTCAAAAGTTCGCATTTAGGGAACAAGTGCTTCCTTCCCTACGCTAATTGAATACTGCATATTTGCAAGTTTAGAATGGTGGAGGGAACACTATTTGATTTAGCAGCTTTAACACTAATTGAATTATGACAGTTTGCAGTGATATCGGTGCATGAAATCTGATTACAAATAAACATGTCGGACTAGTTCAATACTTTTGAGCTATGTATGTGGCACAAGGACTCGTGGAGCACTATGTCTACTAAAATGTCTGAACCGTGATAACTCTCTTCAAACTTACCTGATCAACTTGAAATTTTATGCTTAAAAATACAGATCAAGTTCGAAGGTTAACAAAATCGATTCATGTAAAAATACGAACTTACGTGTTATGGGGTATTCTACACAAATTTTTCAAAATTGAATTTTTTTCTTAATATAAAAAATCAGTGTGGGTAATCCTCTTATGTATTTACGTATCCTGAATCAATTTCCTTGTATATTCACTATGCAACATTTCTGCTTTCTCCGGCTGATTTGTAAACCAAAACCTTCTGGGTCCCCCTCGGTGACTTGCTAAATTTCATCTTTAGCAGGTAGTAAAGAACGTCCGGGAATGAATGGGAATGCGCGCTCTAGCGAGTATATTGACAAATCAATAAACCCGCGAACTATAATAATTTAAATTTCTGAAAGCCCACTTCGTTAGGGTCAATTTGGTATATCACTCTTAAATTTCAAAAATGGATAAGGGTAGAAGAAGCTTGTTTGAAAGGGAGCTGTTAGCAAAACGAGTGATGGAGTTCTACAACACGACAGCCAACCGAGACTCCAAGGTGACCTGGAACTTTTTTAAGCAGGAAGGAATTCCAAGTTCAAATGTGTATTCCTACATAAAAAAGTTCAAGGATTCCGAAAATGTGCAATTCAAGAAGCCAGCTGGTCGTCCGGCGAAGCTAGCGACCACTCGAGTGAAAAATAGAATTGAAAAAATTTTCAAAACCAAGCCATCAACGTCAGTAGCTGTAGCTGCCAGGAAAGTCAAAATTTCCAAAAGCTACCTGGGGGAAATTAAGGTCCATAAATTAGGAATCAAAGCAAGGACCAAAAAACCTGCACCAAATTACAAGCCCGTACAAGAAAGTCGGATCAAGGATTGCTGTCAAAAATTGTTGAAGAAAATGCGTGGAAAAGTAGTGATCCTGGATGACGAAACGTATGTTCCGGTTGACCCTTCAAATCTTCCAGGGCGTCATTTTTTTCATAGCTCGGATCCCTCTGAAGTGGCTTATGAAGAAAAAGTACGAAAAAAAGACAAATTTCCAAAGAAATATTGCATTTGGCAATGCATCTCCAGTCACGGACATGTATCAGACCCGGTAGTTCTCGAAGGGAATATCAATCAAGATATTTATCTGAAAAATTGCGTCAAGGCTGGATTGGAAGCATTTATTAATAGGTTTCACAAAAATGATAAAGTTTTGTTTTGGCCTGACCTCGCCACTTGTCACTATGCAAAGAAAGTGACCGAGTACCTCAGAAAGAAAAATATTGATTTCGTACCAAAAGATATCAACCCACCTAATGTACCCCAACTCCGCCCAATCGAAAAATTCTGGGCACGTTCTAAGTCAGTATACTCCCGGCTTCAAGATGTGCCTGACACCTTTCGAAAATCAAAGGACGATGGAAGAAAATCACCTCGGAAGTGGCAAAAACTTCGGGAAAAAATTTAATGAAAAATCTTCGCAAGAAAATCGAACTAGTCGCCAACAGGGGTGTGGCGGCCTTAGCTATTAATTAAATTATGTAGGTACGTATTTGGTATTATACATATGCAAAAAGTTTAAAATTCCGATAACTCATTGTGATTTTATGACCACATTTTCAGACCATTCCCATTCATTCCCGGACGTTCTTTAGTAGTCAAGTTTTCTATGCACATTTCAGTTTTTAAAACTATTAACTACAATCAAATTAAGGTAATAACGAAGTAGAAATGCTCAAATTCTGTACTCGGGGCGATAAAATCAACCTTTGAATCATATTCACTACCTCGAAAAATAGTTTCCAGAACTTTAGTTATCTTTCAAATTCTTCAGATTCCTAATTTCTAACCGCATAATTGCTTGAAGATTTTAGAAATGTGTGTGCACGTGGATGGTCGGGAACCCGAGTGAATATGGTCAGATGATCTACAGCTTCATCCATATTTCTAAAAGTTTGCAGCATATTAAAAGCCACGCGCTGAGGACTTTTGCAGCAAAATGTTTCCAGACCTGTTTAAAATGCTCATCGTGACAATGCCGAACCTGATTTCGCTCAAGAGCTAATAAACGTAAATTAATTAACCTTCTTTGCACAGCCTCCACTTCTGCGAGGAAAAGGCCGGAAGGATCCTTTCAGGATAACGATGAAGTGGACGAAGCTTTCAGCCTCCTCTCCTTAATTCACCACCATTATGCAAAGTTTATGTACGGAGAGGATTTTAGCAAATTTCACTGCTCATTCATCTCTATAACACTTAAAAAAGAAAGGGAGGTGAAGAGGAGGGCGCGCAGATGACCCGGAAAAATTGGAATCTTTCCTACTTTAAATAAACTTGGGAAATCTAATAATAATCTGAAAATCTTTTCCGGCTTATCTGAATAATTATCGAGAAAGACAAGCAAAAATAAAACACGAAGCATCACATCCTCCAAAAATGTATGCTTTAAAAGTTAAATTAAACCCATATCGTCCATATTTGCACGACTTGAGCTCATTTTGGGAATTATTTATGTTGGGAAAGTACTCGTGAGCACGAGTGGGGAAATATAAATAGGCTTCTTTTATCTTTTGGCTGGGTTGGTGAGGCGCAGCAGGTATTTCGAGCCCTTGAGAGAGGAATGCATTTTGGGCGAAAGAGTATGGGCTGAACTTTAAAATAATGATATCGGTGGCAAAGGCTCACTTGACGGGTTGGACGAACCCAGCTTGAAAATGCAAACCAATTACATGAACTAAGCTTTTAATCTTCTTGCTCACAGGCTGCTGCCGTCTGCTTTACGTCGATTTGCCATTAGCCCAACATAGAATTAAATGTCATCAACAGAGCCTCACGTTTTGTCCTCGTGTTTGTCCTTATTCCAAAATCTCAAATTTTATAACACAAATTTGATTTGTAGTTTTTTTTACATGACAAACCGTCCCTTGGAATTGAATCTCTTTGTCGGAACGAGTTTTTAATCTTCTAAACAAACAAATTGTATAAGTAATTGCATTTTTGCCAGTCTTTCTCAATTCAATTGAGGAACGAAAGTTATTTCATGACACTGAATAGCGATAGATTTGCGCTGAAACCATGAATTTTTACACGTTCTCCTCCTTGCACGATATATTTATTTAGCTGCAACGCTACTAAAACCCTCCTTGTTTTTTGAGATTATTAATTAATTGACCAACCCGCTGTGAACTTTCGTTTGTACTTTAAGTACTTCCCGTCAAATTTTTATGAAGCCTGCTATTTATGATTTTATGCCTATTTTTACTGCAGCAAAGTCTTATTTTCCTTTGCTTTTTTAAGCCAGACATTACCTCCAAACTGAAGACCTCGCCCGCTGGCATTCCAAATTAATGTTCCCCCCGTGCACTTTTGAAGTAGTAAATCCACATTGCATCACCTTGTCGCTCGTGAGTGGCTCCTGATTGACGTGAAGCAGACACTTTTGAAAAGTACAAAGTAGTACAAAGTCACATTTCAGGGAAGTAATGGCAGGAAAACAGATTGGTTTGTGGAACTACGTGCGCTCCTCTTTTATATGTCGAAGTGTAATTAAATATTACAACACGATGTACTTTTGACACGTTGAACTTGTCACTAGTTGTGTAAAGATCAAACATTATTTTCCATCCATTTCGTGGCAAACAATATGCTCAATTAGAATCATGTAAACTGCTAACGAGATAAAAACAAGCAGACTCGAGGCATAAAAGGAGCATCGCTTATGTGACATTTAAAACTTACACAAGAGAAAGACATGATGTTGAATAACGGGTGTTACTCACTCGAGTTGTTGAGCGAGCACATGAACATGCAGCCCAAAAACATGCAAGAATATATAAATACATGCATATTAAAGCTCCAACGTAATAGAAGAGATTTTCGCCGAGTTTTCAATAAACATCATAAAGTGAAAGTTTTATAACGAAAAAGTGTTTTCCACGCCAAGAAAGTGGAAATAGAAATGAATTCAAATGGGATCAAAGCCTTTATGCAATCTATTTCTAATTTGGAAAATGCGATCAAATAAATAAATATTTCATACGCCGTGAACATTCAGGGGACAGGCAGGCAGGCAGGGAACCACGTCGTGCAATTCTCCATCAATATTTACCCAGTAATATTTATTAGATTAATTTCTTCACACTTTCTCTCGCCGTGTTCGTCCAAATTGCTCAATCCGTAGGTGCATACGGACTTCTCGGAATATGGATGAGCTCCGTCACAGAATGAGACTTTCGTTATCTTTTGTATGTGCATGTAGCATTATTATTCCACTTGGTAACAAACCCATCCATCCTCATTCCCCGTATTCACAATCCATTTCCGTCTCAATGATGGATTTATGCGAGAAAAACGGACTATTCCCGAATACATGGAAAACTCTGAAATCTTTGGAAAAGTACGCTCGTTATTTGTGAACCGGTTAGAAACGTGAGGCAGAACAAGTCTGGCTGGATCACAAAAAAGCAACTATCGCATTGCGCCAAGAATCCAATCAATTTTCTATTTCTCCCACTTTCTCCGTATTCATTTTCATTATCAATTGCTCCCGAATATTGAAATATACTTTTTATGGCAGAAATTTCTGTGCAAGTTTTTTCCGGAAATTATATTTTCCTTGTAAATTGCGTTTTTTTACATCGTGCAATTCAACTTGTTGAACTGAATTAACCTTCTTAACAAGGCTTCCCTAAGCGAATTGGGTTTATCTTTTGTGCGTATACTTTGAAGATGGTCGATTCGATTAAATTTTACGGAAATGCTTGCCACCTAAAACCCTACATGATGGGCACGGAGGAGTTTAGAGTCTTGGGTGGAAAGGAAAGTGAAAGATGGTCAGTGCGAGTACGTTATTTGCTGGATTTCCTTGTCAGTCATTTACTTGGGAGCAGATGTTGGGTCACATTGACCCAACAGCCCCAATAATCGAACCTACAAACGTATGTATTGTAGCATCAAGCGTAATTTGTTTGGGTTTCATTACGACGGACCGAATAAGAAAATAATACTTAAAGTGGATGTCCTTCATCATTCTGCTCCTATCATTTTAAGCAGTCAGCCGCACTACATATTTCAATGCATCTCTCTCTGATCGTGGAAAATTAGATTACCACTGAACTGCCCGTGTACATGCAACTCTTGGCTTATCACAAAATGAAAAGCAGTTTATACATGTATCATTCAGTGATATGTGCCTTCGTTTTATGGATTTTACAGCGCATGGTGAACTAATTGCCACGGATTTCGGATTTGCCCATCAGGACGATGAAACTTTTGCAAGTGTCAACCCCACTGCTCGTCTTTTTCTATGAGAGCACTTTGAAAAGCTTTCTCCGTCTCACCGGTGACTCTCCCATTTATTTCGTCATACATACTTAATACCTTTTTGGATCGAAGGCCAGCAAACGGGGACAAACCGAGCTCATCTCCAACCAGGTAACACAACCGCAGAAATCTTCTTCAAACCGTGAGAAGAAGAAGCAGCAGTGAGCAAACACGCGTGAGCCCCACATTCTCAGAGATCCAAGCTCGATGATGGCGGAGCGAATACGCGTCGTCATCCTGGTTAGTCTTTCATATTCCATAGTTTAACGTAGGCATCATCGCCAAGATCGTCAAAATCAGGAAATTTGTAATCATTTCAAGGAATCATGGCTCAAGAATATATTTTAAAATTGTGGACGACAGAAGCTTTACAAGAATTTGAATTCATTGACACCAAATAGCTGACCTTAATTTTTAAACAACTTACTGCAATTCTATTAATCAACTTGCTGACAACAAATATGCTGAAAATTTTACTTAAAATAAATTCCCAGAGCCGAGAAATGATTAAAAATCACACAGATTTGTGGACACGTTGAGACATTACATGTTACAACAAATGAGGCCCACTACAAATGAGCAATGATGACTACTGACTAATCGTCTAATTGTCTACTAGGGAGGTCCCAAAGTTGGAAAATCAGCTATCGTCAAGAGATTCTTGTTCAACACGTTTCAGGAGAAATATAAACCCACGGTGGAGGATTTGTACAGCAAGGAGTATGACATGGGCCCCATCACTCTCAAAGTCGATATTCTGGATACGGTATTTACTCCGCTTTTTTGCCTGTACGCGTGTTTTTCAGATTTTTGTACTTTTATAAAACAAATGATGCAGGCAGGAGATCAGGAATTCCCAGCGATGAGAAGATTGTCCATCGCCACGGCTCATGCTTTTCTCCTCGTGTATTCCATCGACGACTTGGCTTCATTCGAAGTTGTCAAGACTTGTTTTCAGGAAATCCAAGAACAACGCGCAGACTTTCAGGTAAATACGAGAACATTTTTGTCATAAATTTCTGTCTGCTGCAATCAACGGGGGACCCAATGCTGATTTTGATGCAGTGTTAATATGCAGCAGGTTTAATTGTCGTTTATGATGAATTTCAGGAAATCCCCATCGTCATTGCAGGTAAAAGTTTTAATCCGGTGATCTTTACACGTTGATAGAATTGTATGTACATCATTATAATTATACTATTTCAGGGAACAAGATGGACGTTGAGTTAACACGTGTCGAAGTAGAGTTTGACGATGTCTCAGACTGGATTTCTTCTCATATGCCAATACTCAAGTATGCAATTTTTATAATTTTCGTAATGAAACGAACTACACAATAGAGTTACATACTTACAAGGGACACTCACGACCTGTCGTTTGAGTCCAGGGTACCCACTATGTTTTTTAGAATCTGCTAGGACCCTAGATTAAGGATCCATTCTTAGTTCCGTGTAAAAGTCATATTTGGCGTTGTGCCGTGGCGCCAAATTCGCCAAATTTGAATGTTTTTATTTTTGAAACCTCCATAACTTTTGAAATCCTGGACGGATTTTCAAAATTTTTGGCAAAGATCATGACAAGGAGTTCAACTTTCTTATCCCAAGAAATTTTTTCCAAAATTATCACTTTTAACTTTTCGCAAAATTTCGTAATTTTCTTCGACATGGTGTTTCGTCGAAAAAATGCTAAAAATATTTCAAAAGTTTGAAATTTTTTGTTTTTATTTTTTCGTCAAAAATTTCGACTTTTGTGATCATTTTAAGCATACAATTTTGAAAATCCCACATAAACTGTTAAACTTATGGGGGTTTGAAGTTGGTCGAAAATGCAAATTTTTAAGTTTGGCGCCACGGTGCGTGAGTTTTGCACAGAAATATGAATGAATCCTTCATTTGGGATCCTAGTAGTTTCTAAAAAACATAGTGGGTACCCTGGACTCAAACGACAGGTCGTGAGTGTCCCTTGTTAGTTGAGGCCAAGTTTCAACATTACTAGCGTAATACTTTGTATTAACGAATCATGCATCGTGCTTGATAACCTCGCTTGCCTATTTTATAAACTTGTCTAACCCATTTTTCAGCTTATCCTAATTCGTTTTAATGGTGAATAAATGATTGGCTAAAGGCAAACACAAGTTTCTGCTTTTGTTCCTACAAGAGAAAAAAAGTAGGTTAAGATGATCTATAAAAGCAGGGATAGAGAGAGAGAAAGCCGTAACAATAAAAATTTTAGTAGTGCAGCACCTGGAACCAGCTCCTTCTTCTACAGTATTCTTAGAAACGAAAACCTCAAACGGCGTTTGACAGGACATGATCGAACAACAAGAATCGAGTGATTTTTTTTACATTCATTACTTATTTCCGTTGGGCATGGTAAAATAATTTCGGAAACTGAATGGATAAGACAGAAGATGCCTCATCCTGAGTCGAGCAATAAAATAATACGATTTCCCGTGTTGGGAAAGGCAGAAGGAAATTCATGAAATATTCAGATTTTCGAAACGAGTTTGAGCATTTGTAGCTTCAAGTTTACCAAGTCCTCTCCGAAAATCACTTTATATTTAATATAATTTTCTTTCCTTGATTCCCATCCTGTTTTTATAATTCAGATTTTATGTATATGTACTGGGATACATATGCACCGTAACAGTTGCATGTCGTGAAATGTTGTGTCAAATATTTTTTATTACAGTTTCGTTAGATGCGCATTTAGGAATGCCAAATGTCTCGCAACATTTCGTAACACACCTCAACGTTCAGAACCTGTGTGTGTGTAAGGCCATTTATCGTAACGTACCACAAATTCAACAAATGCGTGGTAACGAAAAAAAAACTGACACGGGCCAAACTACTGCACGTATTTACATAGTTCAAACAAAGAATTAGCTACAAATGATGATGAGTTATTGAGGCAACCATGGATTGGTTGGACGAATGAAAGACAACAGGCAATTAGGGCACACTATTCATAACCAATTTTTAATGATGCATTCTTCCTCTCCTTTTCCAGAGCGAAAATAATGGAATGTTCTGCCAAGACTGGAGGAAACGTAAGGGAAGTAAGTTGCCTTTATTGAAAACGTATTTATTAATGGGATAAGTGATACGGGTTGATATTCAAATTCGAGTTTATATGCACTGCATGAATATTTAGCATACTTGTTCATACACATATGTAAAACATATCATGTACTGTGCATTGGTAATGAATACGTTGAAAAATATAAACGAATGTGCGTATCTAGAAGTTTCATGTTGCATAATTTGGGCAAATACTTTATATTTAAGTCCAGTGCACATACAGAAGTCATAATTTTATATAACGGATTGTTAAAAAAGGATTAAGGGGATTGGAGATGAAACTTATTACTGAAATTTGTACCCCTTCTTTCAGGTTTTCCGAACGTTTCTCCACTTGGCAAAAATCCCTCTGCGCCAAGAGTCGGAAGAGGGTGATTGTGGGAGCGGATTACGGCGAAGATTAAGTGCGCACGTAACGAGTGGGTCCAAGTCTAAAAATCGCTCACCCTCGAATGCAACCACACCCACACAAACGCAACCTCCGTCTCCCATTTATGGACGCAGCAGCGGCGTCAACACCCCCACCAAAGGACCAGCCAGCCCTTCGAATATGCCCAAACAGTCGCCACAGTTCTTGGCGCCGGATAACCCGTTTCCTTTCGATCGGAACAAGCCACGAAGTCGGAGCTTGATTCGAAGGTGCAGTAAGAAAGTCAAGAAACAGGTGCAGGACGCGTCGGAGGGTCCTGAAGGTTGTTTGCTCTGCTAGTTAGAATCTCTCCCCAATAAATAGGTCGCTATTTACATATGAGCAGCATGAGGGTTGCATGAGATGCCACCAACCAACCAACTACCAATAATGAACAATTTAATCAATACTTTTTATAGAAATTCATAAATATACAATCGTTGTATTTTTATTACAATTTGTAAATGATTGATTTATGTGTGTGTCCATATCTACATGTTTATCTGTTGGTGGCGAAAGACCACTTTGTCAAATTCACGTTCGTTCAACTTCAAGTGTACATAAATCAATGGAATACTTAATCAGTTAGCAGATATTTTTATGAATCCGAAAAGTGTTAAAACCTTGTTTAGATTAATGAAATGCTGGATTCAGTTTAACGTACTTATTTTGTTTACAGGGTTTTGTCATGACTTTATATTTGCATAAAAGTATACATGACTCGACTAGAATATTAACAGATGAAATTGTTTCAATTATTATATGTCTTTCGCATACATAAGTCTAATATACTGTTTCTTATGAAAATTGTATACACATAATTTCAATTTTTATAAAGCATGCAAAAAAATGAATATTAAGCATCAGAGGTCGGCGTTGACGAAGTATGCGTCGGCGGCGCCAGTTTCGGCGTTCCAATGTTGCAGAAACTTATTAAAAATCAAATTTATCGACGTTTGCGACACGAATATAAAATGCTACAGGCGGCGTGGCGACGTATGATTCGGCGGTGTCGACCTCTGTGAAGCATATGTATTAAAACCTGTATTAAAAGTAGTTGCAGTCGAACATCGAATAAAGAAAGCGTTTTAATCAATTATGAAATTGCGTTTTAAAACATGGGGCTCAAAATGGGTACATGTGTCAGGACTCATTTTGGAAGGTACAATCTCGACATAGTTTGAAGCACGTTGATTAGTGAAAGGCACTAACCAAAACCTGGCCAAAGTGAAGCCTGGCGCTGAGAGGTGATTCCGCAGAACCATTATTCGGCTTTTGAATTTAACCATGAATTCATCCGCAGATTTCTCTAAGCCTCCCAAGACCTCAGAAATGCGGTTGGGGTACGAATATCAATACGAAAGCATCAAGAGGCGAGTTGAATAAATATTTGCCGATACATTATCCGTCCTATTGTTAAAACCCACTCGAATGTCTCACGTTTAGATTGATTCAAATGGAATCCATGTCGAAATGCGTAGATCTACCCAGTACCACAAATGTCATGATTATTAAAGCTCTACATTTCCTCTGCATTCTCATTTAGTCCCCCCTTCCGTATGAAAAAATTTTCATAGATCGAGTAGCTTTCACACGAGTATAAATACAAATAAGGAGCAAAAATCTGGGCTAAAAACGTGCCGAATACTACGGAAACAAAGTGGATGAGACGGGGTGAAGTGTAAAGCACGATTGCTTGACTTTTAGTGCCTAGTTACCCTTAACGGTTGCGACAAATGGTCGAGTTACAAATAAAATAATTATTTTCAAAATAGTTGTTTCTTCTCGATGGTCGAAAAAACAACTCTTTGACCTTTAATAACTTTTGAACGGGCAGACATAGAGACTTAATTCTTAAAGATGAAATCATCGTAATTTTTAGCTTGATTTTTTAAGCTAAAAATCTCGAGGGTACTATTTCGAAGATTGAACTTGAAATCTCCAGTGTGCAGCCTTTACGAGCCCGAGTCAAGCTCGCTGTTATCGGTCAAACCGACCATTTTGCATAGAATTTTATTGTATCAAATGCATTTTACTAATGCACTTTACGCCTGTTTTTGTCAAATATACAATGTGTATTATGCACGTGCATACATATTATGCATTGGTGAAAATTTTACCTTTTAGGGTTTTAGCCCGAATCAGGGCTTATGTACCCGTTATATCTGTCTGTCCGTCTTGCGTCTTGTTATGTCGTAAAACTAATCATAACAATTGAATTAAAATAGGAAAATTTTCCGAGTTTATGAAGTTCGTGTTTTGTAATGGTTTATATACCAAAAATAAATCACAAAATTATATGCACATCGTTCATTACGAGTCCTGCTCTCAGAATAATGCCATCTTACAAGGCTCCGCAAAATTGTTGTCTTTTTAGCCTAAGTCAGTTCTTATCATGTCCTTCCGGAACACGATAGCCAAAATGGCTGAACCACTTGAGCTGAAATTTTCAGAACGGGTGAGACCGTAGGGCTTGATCCATACAGATTTTTCAAAAATATGCCACTCCACAAGTTTAAATGCATTTGGTACATTACGATTTCATGGAAAATGGTTGGTTTGACCGACAACCACAGAGTCTGACTCGGGCTCACTGGAGATTTCAAGTTTAATTATCGAAATAGTACCCTCGAGATTTTTAGCTTAAAAAATCAATCAAAAAATTACGATGATTTCATCTTTAAGAATTAAGTCTCTATGTCTGCCCATTCAAAAGTTATTAAGGGTCAAAGTAGTTGGAGACTCAAACGCCCTTTTTGAACCAACGATTTTGAAATGAATTTTTTATTTGTAACTCGACCATTTGTCGCAACCGTTAAGGGAGACTAACGTTACCTAGATACTTAAAGTCAAGCAATCGTGGGTGTAAAGGTCATGAAACGCGGATGATTTATTGAGATTATAGAGTTATATTACTTCTCGAGCTGGCTGTTGCACTGCTGCGTTGACGTTTATCATGCTAATGTTGACTTAGCTTTTACGCTTTGTGCATCAGGGAAAATAGATTGTTAATTTAATTTCCCTCCGAGTTTCCCCTCCACAAACGGGTCCAATCACCTACATGAAGCGCATTAGGAACTCCGTCGGATGTATGTGTGTCTCACAAATTATTGCAATTTAGTCATGATGAGATTCTGCAACTGAGATTTATTTTCGTATCTGGAAAAGGATTTGCCCATTATCCCGAAGATTTATTACGATTAAATTGCCAGCAAGGAAGTACAGCTTACATATGCACGCGCAACAGGAATAACTAGATTTATGTTAATCGAAGGAATACCGTTTGTGCACTATTTAGCACCACATTTTCATACTTAATTCTGACGTACCTTGTGCATATCCTATGCATCCGTGTAAGTGTTTACATATTTATGCATATATGTAGATGTGATTTAATACGACGAAAATTCAAAGGAGCTGACAAATGCGTACAAGTTGATCCGACCCATCGCAAAATAATTTCAGCAGCCCAGCTCGTGATTCCATCCAACATCGTTTTCTCCTCTTTTTGGTGAAAGTTCTGGAGAAAGTTGGACAGAAATCCTTCAGATGTCTCGAAATGAGTCGATACATTTCTGCTCTGTCGTTCCCTTATCTGCTCCTCGGGATCTCGTCAAGTGAGACGCGTACGTACGTGTCTTCTCACTCCCAAACCAAACTGTATCCACTCAGCAATTTCAGTGACGAAGGGAAGATTTCCAAAGTAGCGTGCACGGGAAAGACATTAAAGAAATACTACCGTGGGACGCGACGTGGTTGTGTGTTTGTACCCGACGTATTTGGGAAATGGACTGCATTAATGTGGCGGTGAACTCTCTAATTATCGTAAAATGAGCATTAGAAGAATTACGCCAGAGTTTACGCCAGGCCGCTGCTTCAAATTCTGCGAAATTGGTGCTAATCCTTGCACAATAGTTTCCTCCAGGTTTTATCTCCTCCCTCGACGACTTAATACGTGCAGCTCCAAATTTGAATTAAATCCCGTGTCGATTAAGTATGCAATTAAACACGGCACGCATTTATCCAATCCTTCGTCTCAAGACTATTGTCAATGCAAAGAAAATGTTTGGAAATCCGTTCGTGATAATTTTATCCGCATATTTTTATCCGTACTCCAAGAAGCCCAATTTATCGTCAAGCTGCACTTTATGCGATACGTTTCATTGTAACGAGCCATCAAAATGACCAAAATTTTGTTTAACAGCGATCACAGATAGTTACGAATCTCGTAAAAGGGCACATTTTGACTGTCCTTTGTGGCCCTTGGCGTGGGGGAGGCTTTGTTGAGGGGAGGTGAAGCCACAGGACAGCGGTGGTGCGGCGGCAGTGTCGTGATGAGCTTTGTTCCTACGTCTCAGAATCAGAGTAACCGAGACAACGGGAATCAGAGAGGGTTCGAGTTGAAGTGTGTGGTGAAAGCAGAGACCACCCGTCATGTAGCCGTCCGTCCGTCCTCCAATGCACCGAGGATTACCTGGACACTCGCACTCACTCACTCAGGACGGACTCTGAGCAGGAGAAAGCAGGGAGAAAGCGAGGGGAGAGAAAGTGGTGGTGGTGGTGGAGAGACATCGCTCTCTCTCCAAAATTCTCAGCCAGAGGCGTCTCGACTTTCCCTCAGTCCGCTAACACCCGCAGCAGCAGTGCAACCATTGTGCTCCCAAAAGAGGATCCCACACAATCACCGACTCCGCGACGCAGTGGAGCCGTATCATCGCCACGAACTGTTAATCACTTAATTTGAACAGGACTCCTTGTTACACGGAAGAAATACACAGAGAAATATTTACCAACTCACAGACGGGTCAATTTCGAAAGTTTCCAGCAATTTATTTATTCCTCGTTGTAGTTGAGACTTGGAGGCGAGCTTTTTATTGAGTCCAACAAGCAGCACTAGCAGTGTTCAGTGCTTATCGGGTGTACAGTACACGCAGTGGAGGAGACTCACCTGTGTGGCAGAAAATTTTACAACCCTTCTCCGCCCAGGATTACGTGAGTAAGTTGAATGTGCTTCAAAAGTTTAAATGCTTGCAGGATAAATTTCGAGTTGTAAAACGCTAGAGGATTTAGGAGCAAAATGCTTTTGAAGCGTATGCTTTGAGATGTAGAAAGTATTCAACTTGAATACGATCAAGTTACAAAACACTGTCATTTACAGAGAATTTTGGCAAGTTAAATTTGTACCTGGTTGTTCAGTCGATTTCACAGTCATGTATGTACATATGTACGTAGGCATGCGTGTGTATGCACATATACCGCATCATAATCATGTTCAATTCATCATGAAACTAGGAAAAACAAGCATTTCCATACTCTCGACGGATCCGGTGGAGTCTGTTAAGCAATTACATGGTTGGCTTTCCCTTGTTTGTTTTTCACTCCACAATGACATTACTCAACAAAAGTTTTGTAAACTTCATTTATGTAATAAAAGGTTTTTAAAGGATCAAAGTTTACTCAAAATTCAGCTCTCACTCAACCTTTCACTTTACGGACAAATGATAGCTGATCATTCTCCATAAGACTGAATTTAATTGTGTCTAGGACATGAAAAATGACATCATATTGACACTTTTCTAGTTTGTCTAACAACCGAATACGTCTGACAATCTGCCAATCAAATAAACGAAGCCACGTACATACGTACAATACATAGCTTGCATGCAATACCTTGTTATCATAAGTCTTCAGAACTACAAGTCAACGGGGATACGTAAGGTTGAAGTATATAAAATCGTCATGTACGTAAAGGCACAATTTGGGGAGAAGAGAGGCTAGAATACCAGTGGAATTGATCCTGGTGGATAATAAAAGGTTAAGTAAACATCATTTTCTCCATGGATCAGAAAATAAATATGCCAACTTTCCAAGAAATGCGAGTAATTGGGTCTAAATGTCAGAAATGAAAGCATCAAGAAAAGTAAGAGATCCAATTTGAGTCCGAACGTAACTTTACCCTAAAAAGTCATCCTCTCAACAAAAAAATATGTCCACATTGTCACATTCTTTTAGTGAACAGAAAATAAAGTTGACTAAATTTACACGGACAAAGTTTACGTGTCTGTCAGTAGAACAGTGGAAGGGTTAGAACAAAGGGGTAGGTTGTTGTGCGGTCATATGACTGTTGAATCAGAAAGGTATACATTTATCAAGTGGAAAGTTGCGCAACTGTTACGAGTAAAAATCGACTAAAAAACATGGTTTCTAAGTTCGTTCGGAAATATTTTCACTTTGGAAATCTAATCCAGCTGAAGGAAACGACTAACAAGAACACATCACAAGTATTCAATTCCAAAACAGAGCTTCATATATAACAAGTTGTTAATGTTATGTTGGATCTAAACAGTTTTTGCAGCGTATGGAGTACGGATAATCTCCTGGAGACTAATCTCATGGTTGACACAGGGCTTCCAACGAGATGAGACTCTCCTATTTGCCAAGAGACCATTTGTGGTCTCTAAATTTTATATAAAAAATGAAATCGAGATGCTGTTCGTTATGTCGACCTGGAAGCCACAGTCAAATTTCCCCTTGTCTCATCAGAAGCCCTACCATACGTAATACAACACACATTTATTTTGGAATGCACCTGAAAACTTTGAATGATTTAAATATGCAAAAGATTGGCTGGAACTTTCACTGGGCGAGTCATTCACGTATAAGAAACTGCTTGTGGGAATAAGCGTGGCGAAAAAGGCGACATGCTTAAAAGTCTTAACCAAATGGCGTGAAAACTAAAAGAACAGTAATTCAAAGAAGAAGTTGAAAGTGTCAAAGTCAAAGAAACTTTTCGACACGTCCATCATTTTGGAAATAAACTCGCAGGTAAATCGGCACAAGAAGTACGAGGCGAATTTGCAAACATAAATATGAAAAAAGTTTCCATTTAAGGAGAAGAATGATGGACAGGCTATAACGGAACTTGGGACGATATTTTCTTAACGGAAAGTGAGTTTGGCTCCTGACTGTCAAAAAATATTGGTTCAAGGCAATCAAATCTTTTGATCAACTCTGTCCACATACTGACGAAAAGACTGATTTGAACTGAAAAAAAACTTGTGTCTGATTTGAAAGTAATTTCCAATGCTTGTTGGCAAAGCTCTTCTTGGCTTAATAAAAAGAAAATTCCATCCCAATTTTCCAGGGTTAAATTGTAACTTGTTTAATATTGTCCTCGAGCTTTTTGTGCAGCCAGCGTAAGTAAGAATGCTCGTCCTTGTTCTTCTTCCTATCATGTGCTTTCCATCAAATAAACTCACTTTACAATTTAAAAGTGGGTAAGACATAAGAGGAGAACGGAGTGAGTCTGCTACTCTCCTTGTTCTTCTTCTTTCATCGGGCATAGTTTGTCAAATGGGGATCCATACATTCGACATTTGGAAGAGCGAGGCTTTCGTGCATCCTTTCTCGAAATTCCAAAACTTTGTCAGGAGCAACTTACTTGGACTGGATTTGGCAGTGGTGAAGGAAGAACTCGTCCCTCCACAACAGGTCTTACATACGTCAGACACGAACCTTTGTTCCAGATATATTTATGTGCCTCCGACCAATTTCTCCTTTCATCGTCTGTCCCCACACACATTCATACGTATGAACTCCAAGAGTGAAACATTCGTTGCTAACTTTGGAGAAAGTTGGGATTTCCTGAGAGAAATGACGAGGTTTATCCCATCATATGGCATGAACTTGAACCAACAATACGATTTACGTCCGCTTATTCTGCTTCGAAAATGAAGATATAATGCCGAGCTGGGCAAAGTTGACGGAGTCAGCGGAGGAATCGTTGCTGTTGTTTTATTTGCAAACGGGTCCCAAGATGTTTAATTTCGCTGAATGAGAACGCAGTTAATGAACTAAGGAATGGTGCAACGCGCTCATTTTCGCTTCATGTTTATCTTGCGTTTATTGCTCCTCCGTCTGACCAAAGGCATTCCATTCGACCAGATGAGAAGAAAGGCAAATAACGAGCTAGGAAGCGGGACAGATGCGTAGCCTCGTTAATTAAGGCATAGATGAGGACCAACCAACGTTGCATTTTTCGAGGCTACGCTACAGGCAGTTTCGTCCGACCCATGAAATACTGCTATCCACTTATCCATGCAAAACCTTCGTTTGTATTGAGTGATTCGGTACGTGGGAAATGCGTCGTAATAAATAGTTCCATATCTTGAAGGCTGTGTTCACGTGCTCATCATTAAATATGCATTTAGTAGGTCTGTAAGATATTGATATAAGGAAGACACTAATAAAAATGGTGCTAAAACATACATCTAACTAACTCATCATCCACACCACAGCCTGTACGCGTCAGACATCAAGTTGAGAACAAAAGTTATCGACCTTAAAAATATTAAATTTGTAACGGTGCTCCATGTTACAATTTAATTGGTAAAAGTTATGATTCATTATGTTTTCCAGTGGCCCTTAAAACTTGGATAATGGGCAGTGTTCATTACAACGGGTTACACATCTGAATAGCGAAAACATTCTTCTCAATTCCTGACGAATCGTCCGTAATGTTAAAAATTTTCGGCATAGCCTAAATCTATATAATTAATAGTACCACTATCATACTTCAAAGCCCAGTGGAACAGATTATCTATTTACGGACGACTGGTCTAATTATCGGTTACTACTCATAACTGCGGTTAACTCAAAAGTTTAAGACTAAAAACAATCCGTAGCTTCAATGCGTTTCTAATTCATTTTGTCCTTCCACAACGTAAGACGCTGATCTTGACAACTCTTCCGAAGCATGGGAGCGTAAAACAGAATTATCGGAGGTTTAACAAAGTGACAATATTGACTCGTTGGAATCTCATAATTTTTGGCGTCAGACGATCCGCCGGAATATGACGCCTCGGGTACTAAAACTTGACTCACTAGTCAGTTCAGTTGATTGGATATGTGGCCATAATTGTGATCAAAGCCTGAATATACACATAACACTGGTTTATATACGAGTGCATACTCGCACATAAGGAATTTAGAAAGTGCCAAATATTTTAAATTATTACATTTATTTTTCAGTTTCATTCGAATAAAATTTATTTTAAATATTTATTTCTTGATTAGATTAACTGATTAGAAAATATACCGTTTTGCTAAATCTAAATTGAAAATCATCGCGAAAATATCACTCACAAAACGTTGCATGGTTTACCTCCCCATTTAGTGAGTCGTGTGATATTTGTAATTAAAAGCTGTCAGCATGACGTACGTTGTTTGGTGCGTGAGTGGTAACAAACAATTGAGGGAGTTGGATAAGTAAAGTTTCTCTCTCTCTCTCTTGATAACTTTCTAATCAACATTCGTCAATTTGGCTTTCCTCTCCGAGTGAGATTCACAATCCATAAAATTGTGACTTCACTTACATTTGGGTTACTCCTTCTGAAGCCCTAGTGCCAACTGTATGTTTCACTCCAGCGTAACCTTACATGCAGTAATCTCACAGAAGACTGGATCATTACGAAAGCATTTGCAATAATTTGTAGACTTTATTATATAGGAAACACCAGTAAAACCACCACTTGATGTATTTCCCTTAATTATAAGAACTCCCTCCAAAGTGAGGCTCCTGCTCCCAGTTTAACTCTAATTTACTTAAATTACTCATCCGAAAGCGTATTTGAACCCACAAAAAATAACTTTCTTCTCAAAAGGATCATTTCTGTGGCAGTGGGAGCCATATGTATCGCACGCAGTGACGGAGTTGGTGTCGCAGAGGGGAAAAAAGTTGGCAAATTGGTATCTAGTTGTGATTGGAAGACGGCATTTCATTGAATTATTTACTCCAAGTGGTGCGACTCACCAAGTGCTAAATCTATTTCGGGCAATCTTTTGAGGTGAAAGTGCTTTCAGTTCAGGTGCTGCAGTGCAGTTATGCCCATGAAATTAGACGTATTTACTGCTTGTGTCATCAATTGTTCCACTGCATAACTCATTGTCAGTCAGTCAGGCGTCTGACCATTCTTAACGAACGGAGTGACCTTTGTG